TGCTGACGACATTGAGTCTCACTCCATTGGAAACCTGCTCCCTGATGAAGAAGATCTTTTGACAGGGATGATGGATGATCTCGACCTTACCGAGCTACCAGATGCTGATGACTACGATCTTTTCGGTAGCGGAGGAGGAATGGAGCTTGACGCTGATTTTCGAGACGGCTTGAGCATGAGTGGTCCTCCGAGACTATCCATTTCGAGTCTTGGTGGAAATGCAGTTCCGCAGTTCGGTATTCAAAATGGTGCTGCTGGAACAGTCGTCGGTGAGCATCCTTACGGTGAACATCCCTCGAGAACATTGTTTGTCCGGAATATTAACAGCAATGTAGAGGACTCTGAACTCAAAGCTCTCTTTGAGGTAACTTCAACAGAATATGACCCTTATACATATTGTTTATAACATACAGAAACTGATGGGTTCTCTTTTTTTTGTCTGATGTGTGGCAGCAATTCGGTGACATTAGAACACTCTATACTACTTGCAAGCATAGGGGATTTGTGATGATATCTTATTATGACATTCGTGCTGCTCGAATGGCTATGCGGTCTTTACAGAATAAGCCCTTAAGGCGGAGAAAGTTGGATATTCACTTCTCAATTCCTAAGGTTTACCATTGGTTCTTTCTCGAAATTTCCAACGTTTCTTGTTGCAGCTCTAATGTTTTTTTTTTTTCTGATGTGCATGTTCCCTTGTGTAATCTGTAGGATAATCCATCTGAGAAGGATATGAATCAGGGTACATTGGTGGTTTTTAACCTGGATCCTTCAATCTCTAATGATGACTTGCATGGAATTTTTGGTGCTCATGGCGAGATCAAAGAGGTGATGGATATCTTTCTGTTTTATTTACTTTTCCGTAATGGAGCGTTGTGCATTTGATTCCGCATCCATGTTAAAGGTGCTGTTTTTTCCTTCCTGAAAAGCAGATAAGGGAAACACCACATAAGAGGCATCACAAATTCGTCGAGTTTTATGATGTTCGAGCTGCTGAAGCTGCATTGAAGGCTCTTAATAGGTGTGAGATTGGCGGAAAGCGTATAAAAGTTGAACCTAGTCGCCCTGGAGGAGCTCGTCGAAGGTTTGTATATTTCTTTGATCCGACACAATCACTAACTAAATCTATTACAGTATGTTTATTACACCCTGACCATATATATGATCTTGTAGCTTGATGTTGCAACTTAGCCAAGAACTTGAGAACGATGATTTGCATTACCTACCTCTGCTTGGTTCACCCATGGCAAACTCTCCTCCAAGTGAGTCTCTATTAAACTATATATGATTCTCTTCAAACAAAGTTGCAATCTTTGACTTCCTAATGAAGGCTAACACTGTCTGATGTGGTGGCGCAGGTAACTGGCTGCAGCTGAACAGTCCCGTTGAGAGTAGTCCGCTTCAAAGTGTAATGAGTAGGTCACCCGTTTTCGGAGTAAGTCCTACACGGAACAGCCACTTGTCTGGTTTAGCTTCTGCTCTGAATTCACAAGGACCAGGCTCCAAGCTTGCGCCCATCGGTAGGAGTCAAATAGGTAGCAACGGCTTCCAACAGTCGTCACATTTGTTTCAAGATCCCAAGCTCGATAACAAGTACAGCGGAAACCTTTCCCCTTCTGGTCCTTTGATCTCAAATGGAGGTGGTATCGAGACGTTATCAGGGTCAGAGTTTCTCTGGGGAAGTCCTAACTCACGCTCTGAACCTTCAAATTCTTCGGTTTGGTCAACGTCATCCACTGGGATTCCGTTCTCCTCAGCTCGTGCAGACCGATCTGTTCCATTTCCACATCAGCATCAGACTCAAAACCGCAGCCATCATCATCTCCATGTCGGGTCTGCACCATCTGGTGTTCCTCTGGAAAAGCATTTCGGATTCTTCCCAGAGTCTTCAAAGGACACTTTGTTCATGAACACTGTTGGTCTTCAAGGAACGAGTGGGATGGGTCTGAATGGTGGAAGTTTCCCTTCGAAAATGGCAAATCATGGGATTATGAATCCCGGAAGCATGGGTGAGAACGGGTTTTCGAGTTACAGAATGATGTCTTCACCGAGATTCAGCCCCATGTTCTTAAGCAGCGGTCTAAACCCAGGACGGTTCACCTCTGGATTTGATGGTTTGTATGAAAATGGAAGGGCACGTAGAGTCGAGAACATTCCGAGCCAGGTCGAAAGCAGGAAGCAGTTTCAGCTTGATCTGGACAAAATCATGGTTGGAGAGGATTCTCGGACTACCTTGATGATTAAGAACATTCCAAACAAGTAAGCTTTTCTTTTATTTACCGTTACTTCTTGTGAAACATTTGCTTGGAAGTTGGAATGTAACTTTCTTTCATGCTGGTATCAACAGATACACCTCGAAGATGTTGCTAGCTGCTATTGATGAAAAGAACCAAGGAACTTACAACTTTCTGTATTTGCCCATTGATTTTAAGGTAAAAAGATTCAATAAGAAGTTACGAATTCACAAGCTGATACAAGGAGTGGTTGATAAAACTTTTTTTTTTTTTTGCAGAACAAATGCAATGTTGGCTATGCATTCATCAACATGCTCACTCCAGATCTCATCATTCCATTTTACGAGGTCTCCTTCTCTCTCAGCTTTACTTCTAAGACATTGTTAAATTTCAGTATAGATCACTCAGAAGATGAACTAACAAAACATCCAATAATTGCAGGCTTTTAACGGGAAGAAGTGGGAGAAGTTCAACAGTGAGAAAGTAGCGTCCTTGGCATACGCTCGGATACAAGGAAAATCTGCACTTATAGCCCATTTTCAGAACTCAAGCCTGATGAATGAAGACATGCGTTGCCGTCCAATTATCTTCGATACCCCTAACAACGGTTCAGACTCTGTTGAAGAGGTAATACTCTTTGATCTGAAATAACAACGATCCAGATGGTCCCTTAAGAAGTTATTGGTGGTTTTGTTGTTTGATAGGTTATTGGTGAGGAAACTAAGAATGTGGATCTCCTTGACCCTCAGGTCAGTGATGATGATGGCAGAGAGAAGAGCTGACACAAGAGGGAAGAAGACTCAAGTGTTGTGGTCATGGCTGTTTATTAAGTACTAATTTTTAACCGTACATATTGGGGAAAAAAATGCAGAGTTAACTTATGCAGCAGAGTCCTGCAAAGTGTGTTTTCGATTTGCAGGTTTTCAAATGCTCCACTCTGTTTTCTTTTTTATCTTCATGTTTTTTTTTGGTTTCATGGAGTAAATATAAGAAAAGCCATGAATACTCGGTTTTATGTGGGGTATTATGTTGTAACTCTCGTGACTCTTGTTGCTTTTATTAAAAAGCTTTGGCAATTTGTACAGTAAAAAAATGAGTACTGTTGTTTCTTTTTTTTTTTCACATTCATGAAATTAAGTCTTCATAAACACAACTTATGAAAAGAAACTGAAGGAGTTAAAAAAGCTTCAAACTCGAATATTTTGTTTACAAGTATGAATGCCGAGGATAAACAATTTGATTATGAGTTATTGACATACTACAAGTTTCTGAAAATTTCGATTAGAGTTTACATTTTATAATCAACACAACAATAACACTAAAATTTCTCCATGACTTGACACATCAGCTTTTTGAAGTTTTATAAACATGACATCTCAACAAAAATAATCACCAATCAAAACATTTTATTAATACATCTCATCTATTTATTTTAATTTTTAAACTTAAAGCCATTGAAAATCCAAATATTTTTTTTATTAATTTTTGTTTTATTTTTTACCAAACTCAAGCTCAAATAATTAATACCAGTAAATAAAAAAATATTATTTTATTTTTTTGCTAAATCCAAACCCAAATAATAAATAAAAAAATAAAAAATAAATCATTGTCTTTTTTTTGCCAAAACCAAATCTAAATAATAAATAACAACAAATAAATAATAATAAAAACATAACAATTTCTTAATTTTCGCGGGAAAACACAATTTCACGGGAGATAATGCAATTTTTAGTTTTCGCAGAAAAATTGTAGTTTATTTATTTTTGTAGAAAAGCGTGATTCTTAGCTTTTCTTGGTTCTCGCGGGAAATATTTTTTTTTTGTTTTGGCAGGAATAAACGATTTCTCAGTTTTCGCAGAAAAAATAATTTTTTCGATTTTGGCGGGAAAATACAATTTTTTTTTGTTTTTGCAGGAAGATGAAATTTTTTGGTTTTTGTGAAAAACGTAATTTCTCTATTTTGGTGGAAAAACACAGATTCTCGCGGAAAAATGAAATTTTAGGTTTTAGGTTTGAATTTTTTGGTTTTGGCAGAAATAGGTGATTTCTCAGTTTAATGGGAAAATGAAATTTTTGTTTTGACGGAAATACGTTTTCTCAATTTTTGTAAGAAGATGAAATTTCTTTGTGCTAAATTTCCAAGTTAAAGTATATTTACAGTAACTAAATAATTATTTAACTTTAACTAAAATAATATTTTAAGAGTTCAAACATAATTTTCTATTTAGTTCTAAAGCAATAGCAATGGTTTTGGTATGAATGTTATTGATATAGTTTGGTAGTTTTAGAAACATATGTTTATAATAAAATATTTGATAAATAAATAAATTTTTTAATTTAAAATAATTATATTAATTAAGAAATCTTTTTTTAAATGCCATTTTGCTATATATAATTACAAATGAGGATCAAATGGCAGTTTAATGGAGAAAATAGATTACATTTACCATTAGCATGAAGGTACTAAAAATGTATTGCTTTATTTTTATATATTTTATTTCTATATATACATTTGTAATTAGTTAGCTAATTAAATTTAATAGCAAATTATAATTTTTAAAAATAAAAAAGTATATAATGTTTATTCATATTTAAACATATAAATACATAACTTAATATAAATACATAACTTAAACTAATAAAAAAATATAATACTCATTTACATTATAATAATTTAATTATATTAAAAGTATATACAAAATTTAAAAAAATATCCCGCAGCATAGCACAGGTAAATACCAAGTTATGAGAGATCATTTTGTTTCACTTCTTTCTTTCGCTTTGGTTCATGCCGACATGCGATTAAGTGGATTATTTGATTGGATATTTGAAAGCTGACGTGGAATCCTACGTGGGTGGATTTGTAAACAGTTTCGAGTTTGATTCCAACGGTGGAGATTCAAGATTCTTCGATGATTGTGAAGGGCTTTCGTTTTCCCAATCACGTGTAACCCGGGCCCCAATTTTTAAAAGCATTTTCCGCGAATTCTTCACCGTCCACGTGACGCGCATGTATTGGTTGCAATGATGCAATTTAACGGAAAGATCACTCCGTCATCTTCCACTTCCCACCACCGTCTCTCTAAACAATTACATGGCGAGTCTCTGTATCTCTTCCTCCCGGGTTCTCTCTCTCCACCACCAGAAACCGTTCCTCTCTCTTAAAGTCCGGCCTCGTTCCTCAGATCTCTCCGTTTCAGGTCGCGTAAATGCTGTCTGCTTCAATCCGCTAAGGTAATGATGAGACACAGAAACGCGCGTTCCAAATTCTCGAATTTTTTTTATAATTGTTTCGTGTAATTGTTCTCGTTCTGAATGTTGACAGAGTATCGATAGATCGTAAGCGAACCGATACTGTGCCTACGAGGGTTGAGAAGCAGCGAAAGAGAGGATCGAGTGTGGTCTGTTATGCTGCTCCGATGCCTGTCCATAATCTACAATGGATCTCCGCAATTTCTTGCGTGTATGATCTCTCTCTCTCTCTCTCTTTCTATAATTGTGAATCTCAAGGAAGAATGGTGGTGAAAATATGCTGATTTCTGAATTTCCTTAAAATTTTAGCTTCATTTTGGATGATAGCAAATGATTTCACAAAAAGGATTAATGTGATCGAGTGGTTTTACGAATTCCAGCTTGTATCTATTCGTTTGGCTGCCACAGAATCATGTGTGAAAGTGAATTGCGATAGCTGATTGTGTAGTTTTTCAGTGTTTTCATAATGTCAACATCATAAGCTCAATGGTAGACTGAAAATGGTGTTTTTTGTTTGTTTGTCTAGAGGATTGATGCTTGCGAGGGGAACCGGTATCCACAAGTCCTTTGTTGTTCCACTATTCGCTCTAACCGCACCGTCGGGCATCATCGCCTGGGCAAAGTAAGCTCTTGAATGGCTATATGCTTACCTTGCCAATGACCAATGCTTGTGGCTCTCTTGTGAGATTTGTATTCTCGTACGGCCATCTTCAAGTCATTCAACTTCTGTATCTAATTTGCAGGGGTGAGTATGGCATCTGGGCAGCATTCCTGGCTCTTCTTGCTCGACTCTTCTTCGCTTTTCCAGGTTTGTTATCATCTTCAAGTGTTTTTCCTTTTGTTTAACCCGTGCTTTCGATGGCAATTTGACACCATGTTAATGTGAAAAAATCGTGTCCTGTCTCCATTTTATCTGTTTGTAATTCTTTCCGGAATGTTTTTTTCATAGGTGAACTTGAACTGCCATTCATTGCATTACTCTTGGCAATTGTGGCGCCACCTCAAGTTATGAGCATAAGGTTAGAATATTTTTTAGAGAATGTAAAGTTTGAGATTAGGTTTTTTTTCTTTTCTTTAGTCGACACTCATTGGCTCCATCTACTTGCAGAGGGAAGCAAGAAGGAGCTCTCATTTCTTTGGCGATATCTTGTTTCCTGGCTTTCCAGCATTTCTCACGAGCAGGGAGCTTGCAGAAAGCGTTTGATCAGGGCTCACTTGTTGCCACTCTAGGCATCATTGGTGTCACAGTTGTATCGATCCTTTTCTTGATATAACTATATACTCGTGACAAAAGGACTGTCATCTGTAAATCACTGTAAACAATGAGTATGAAGAGACAAGAAATAATGTGCTGTATTTATTTGCTCAATGTTACTCAAGTCAATAAGTTTGTGTTGATTCGCTGTTTATAATATAACTGTATTTGGCACTATTCGCTGGTAATGGAATGATCTTTTAATCGCATATGATTCCAAGATGAGCTGGTTTGGGTTGAAAACTTCCGCTTATAGAAGATTATGAATAGAGAATCTGGAAGAGCATTGTTTATTTTGGATATTGTGATGCAATGCAAGCAACTGTTTCAAAAATGCTGCAGGTATTGTGGAGCTCGTCTCTCTCTCCATCATTGGTGTGTGAACCCGTTTTGGAATGATGCAGGTACGTAATTACTTGAAGTAGCTTTCATTTTATTTTTTTTGTATATGGTTCCCTTTGCTATTCCACAATTAATCAAGCCTGGCATTGCTTTAACCGTTCCCTAAGTAGTATTTTATTTTCTAAAACTGTGGAGAGATACATTATGCTTAATGTGTGTCTACAAGAATGTATATATCTAAGCCCTTTGATTTTGTAATATCTCCTACTAAATAAATAAACTTTCCGTGATGAACTATATATATAGCAATAGAACAGATTATGAGAGTAAGGTCTTGGATTAAAAATCTTCTTGCTGATCACGGCTGATTAACATCCTCATAATTTGCAGAGAAAGATTGAAACCCTGAAGAAACCCTTGTCCGTTTTAAAGATAATTTTCCCTGAGCAGTGGTACTAGTATCCAAACTGCTGTAAGTATTGAGAGGAAGCTATGCGACACATGAGTTGCTGAACTCGGAAGCCCTGTGGGCTCTGCCACGCCGAAGGGTGGTCCAGAACCAGGTATGCCTGTAGTTGGAGTTGTTATTGGGGGTGGGAATGTATTAGGTGGGGAATTAAAATCTGGTGGACTCGGTTGACTCGGCGGGCTTGTGCTGCATTTGGCAAAGATAAATCAGTTTCTCTTTTCTCTCTTTTCTCACAGGTTAAGACGTTAGTGGAAAGAGAACCATACCTGACTGTTCCTGATGATGCTGAGAAGCGACAGCTTCCTTTACCTGAAGCAGTACAAGAACAGAGTTTATATACCAGTCTTAGATTTATATTTAGCTTAAAAAGGGTGAAAACTCTAGTCGTTATCGAGCTCTTTGGCACATTAGAATCATATGGTGGAGGTTGTATTCCAAGGTTCATGAACTTATGATCAAATCTTTGTAGATTTGTACACAAGAAGTTAAAAGATCGCTTACTTGGATCTGTGCTGGTAAGTTGTGCTGCGCCTCCAAAGTTGCAGCTGTCTGAACCAGGATGCTTCTGGTAATAACTATTGAAAGCAAAGGAAGCATGATCACGGATAGTGTTTGGCTCGTAACAGCTTGCACCTTGTTGGATCTGGCCACAGTCAGCTCCTCCATACCCACAAGCGTAATCCAAAGCCACCTGTAATGACGTTGGTGAAGCATTTGCTTTCGCTATACACCACTGGCCGCCCCCACCACCACCACCTGCACCAGTGTCACCACCACCACCTCCACCAGGTGCACCACCACCACCACCTGCACCAGTGTCACCACCTCCACCTCCACCAGGTGCACCACCACCACCTGTAGGTGTGGTGCCATAAAGTGGTGGATAACCTCCGGTTGGTGTGGTACCGTCAAGTGGGGGGTAACCTCCGGTTGGTGTGGTGCCATCAAGCGGTGGGTAACCACCACCAGTTGGTGTGGTACCATCGAGTGGGGGATAACCACCGGTTGGTGGATTCGGGTTCGTGACTGGACCAGGGAATGTTGAAGGCGGTGATGGTTGGGTTATGGTTGGTGTGGTGGTGGTGCCACCGGGAGATGTAGGATTAACAACTGGTATATCACCTTGTCCTCCCTGAGCTATAACATCTACAGCTGAAACCAATAACCAGAAAGAAAGAAAAAATCAGGTCAGTTCGTTGCAAAACCACGCACACACACTTCATCTTCACATCCTTTCATAACGAAACTTTTGCAGGAAAGAAAAACATAGCAGTTTATTCACGATTCTGGTGCATCAGACGCAGAGAGATTACGTGAAGTGATGAGAAGACATAAAAGCATGATCGAGAAACATCGGGGAGCTATACGGTGAGTCATTTTTCTTTTCAATCCCGTCTAGTGAAGCTTTTGAGCAAGAAAGAGGGAGAGAGAGAGAGAGAGGCTTCTCAGGTAGTCTTGGGATTTGGTAGAGGAAAGATAGAAATGCTTGCGAAGAAGTTCCCTCTCAGGTATAGATATATAATATATATAAAGACGGAGGCAAAAGAGAATCATAGAATCAAAGATTTCTTGGGATGGGAGAGAGAAGACATGTAGGGAGAATATAAGAAGACTTGAGAAAGGAGAAACTAGGAAGCTAGAATCGGCAAGCAAGAGAAAACACCATAAAGAGGAAAAGGTATTTCCAGATTAAACTTATAGTACAGGACAATTGTAAACCTAGCAGCTCTTCCAACAAAGATGAGAAACAGGAAATGATTTTACATTTTTTTGTTGAACTTGTTAAGTTATATCACTTCGTTTGTTACTTAGTCTCAAAAGATGATTATATTATATCGTGTGATTATTACCAGAAGTGAACATAGCCCAAGTTGTTTGTCTTTTGAACTTTTTAATCAACGCTAAGAGATAAATAGAGCAATGAAGATTGATTTCTTTAGAAGCTAGGAGAGGTCCTTTTAACTGTGGTACTAAATGGAACAACACAGAGAACCTGTAAGTAACTTAAAATAACGAAAAGCTAAAGTGTTTCCTATGAAACATAAGGAATCTGTTTATTAAGCCCAGTTGCGATTCTCTCCCTTTATTTGTATCTTCTCTTCTAAACAAGTGCTTCTTTTCGTTTGTCTAACCTTTTTTTGCAATACAATTTTTTCTTTACTGAGAAAGTTCATGTGCTAACTTTGTCTCAAGTTGTGATCCAGACCAGTAGTAATATACGGATAGAACAATTGAGTTTTTATTGGTTGTTCAGATTTTCGGTTTTTTTTTTCCCGGGACCTATGTGTTTATGTTCTATGGCTTTGGTTCAGATTCGGTTCTCTAAGTGAATCGAGTTTGGTTTCTACGGCATGCGAAGCACAAGATAATTTAATGAGAAGATGTTTTGTTTTTACCAAAGCTGGTGTCATGTTGTAGTGTCGAAATTCCTTTTGTTAATGTTGTAAATATTGTGGCTAAACTAAAGCGACATGTACTATATAATAAGAAGGTTTTTCTCAGCTTAAATTCGAGAAGAAAAAACGTAGCTCATATTCATATATTGATAAATGAAACACTAGTAAACCGTTGAAATTTTAAATCATAACACAATCGTTTTCATTACGTTACGTATGCAAGTGTAATGATTTTGTAAAACTCGTGGCCTTGTAACACGGTTTGATGTGGTGTTGGCTCGGTTTAATTTAGATACGGTGGTTTAAACGAGAGAACCGTGAGTACGGTCCAGTAATTTTACAATTTTGAAAAGAAAAGGAAAATAAAACTTTTCAATTCAATTAGGTGAAAAAAAAAAATCTCGAGAGGGTTTCCTTCTACAGAGATATATCTTCTTCCCCTCTGCTTCGTCTTCTTCCTCCTTTTTTCCTTCTTCGTATTATCGCGACTGAGAAGTTACAAGGCATCCTTATTTTCCTTCAGATCCGAGAGAGAGTGTGAGAGGCAGTTTACGGCGTGATAATATGAGCAGCAAGGTCAGCGGCGGCGGCGGCGGAAGTGCCGGAGCGAGGAAAGGCAATAACGGAATTAACGATATTCCGTCAGGGTCTAGAAAAGTAGTACAAAGCTTGAAGGAAATTGTAAACTCTCCCGAGGCTGAGATCTATGCTATGCTTAAAGAGTGCAATATGGATCCTAACGAAGCCGTCAATCGCCTCCTCTCTCAAGGTTCCTCCTTTTTTCCCCCTCGAATTTTGACGTCGGCGTCTTTTGGTGCTGCGTTAAACAGTGAATTTGTGTGGCGGAGAAAAGTAGGGTTTGCATGGTTCCGTATGATGTTTTCTCGAAATTGACTGATTCTTGAGGGTTTCCATTAGGGTTTGATTGGGGTTTTAATCCTTATGGACCAAATTATTTGTTTTTGTGAGACTTTTTTGTCACTCCTCGAAATCTTAAGCTGTTTCGCCGTCAGTGGTTTTTTTGTTCCCCTTGGTAACTTTCTAGCTGGTTGTGTTTCTGAATCATCAAGCTGTAGTTTTTTTTCTTCGTATTATGTTACTAATGATTTGTTTCTTAGTTCCTGATCTTTAATTCGTACTATACTTTCTTCAGCATTTCCTGTTTAGGGTCTTTTTTTAGCTTACGTTCTGGTGAAAGTTAGTTTATCAGCTTAAAAGGTTTGTCTTTGTGCTGTTGGCGTCTACTAATGATATTGATACTTGTTTTTTTTGTTTCTTCTCTGTTCAGATCCTTTTCACGAGGTGAAGAGCAAAAAAGAAAAGAAGAAAGAGGTGAGTCAATGCTGAAACACTGTATTCTTATGGCAAATAGACGAGGGAGTGTTTTTGTGACATTTTTAAAATGCAAACTAATTGGCACAATATGTGCGTGTTAGCACATGCTCAAACCATGTCTGCGACCATCAACTTCTGTTTCTAGGATCACAACTTTTACATTGTCACATCTAATGTTGTCATGTCTGAGGACTAGTAGCTGTCTTATGTAGTACCTGAAACAAGATGTTTTGCTGGAAACAAATCAATTCTATTTCTAGGTAGTTGTCATTTCGGTTTATTGGAGTTTTTGGCGATTTAAAGGCTTTTCTTTCTATTCAGGCTAAGGATATACCGGATTCTCGGCCGCGTGGTGCTAATAACACATACAACCGCGGGGGTAGAGTTGGTTCCGATCGTTATGCTGGACGAAATGGATCTACCCATTACAGCTCTACTGGTATAAACATGATCATTCTCTTGGATGCATAAATTTATATGGTTTTGACATTTAACCATAGGATTCATGCTAATGGGTTTTTCTGTTGTTCAGATTCTGGAAACTTCCAGGGAAAACCTACATACAAGAAAGAGGGCGGAACCCAGGGTTACACAAGTTCTTGGTCTTCTGCCTCCGGAGTGGCAAACCAACATCAGACACCACACAGGTTTTTCCTTTGACCAGTCTCTTTAATTTTGGAAATTTGGATGCAGTTGAGAAAAAACAGTGGAACTTCTATGTGCGTCTTATGGAATCAAATAATTGGTTTCATATTTTACCCATTTAGTCAATGATTGTATTGGTAGGATCCATTTAGTGGTGGTTCAGAATTACCAGGCTATATGTGCGTAAGGATATCACGAAATATGAAAATTCTGTGATCAGTTTGTTTGATCTTAGGCTGTCCTACATTAAAAACTATGCTTAGATATGTGGCTGAGTTTAAAGAGTTTATCTGACCTATGGCTTAGATATGTAGTAGAATATCACAATTAGTTTTACTGGTTCATTGCAAGTCTTTAATTTTAGAAAGATAGTAACTAGTCAATCTCTTATGTATATAGTATCTGTTTGATTAACTAGATGCATTGAAACACTTTTACATGCTGAGAGTAGTTGTACATGTTGGTTTTGGGGTTGTATGAAGAGATTAGGTATGGTCATTTAGACCTTAACTTTTTGTTTATTCCACATTTCTCTTTTGTAGCTTTTTCAGTTGCCTTTTTTTTCCTTCTTGAATTATGTTTTTGTACATATTTCCACTTGGGTTGCGCAGGTTTCTGATGTACGCTGCATATCTTTTGCAGTGATTCTATTGTCACGGAAAGGAAATTGCCATCTGTTGCCCCAGGCGATGGAATATCATCATCACAGACTTCTTCTGGACATCAAACTGCATGGTTTGGAGCTCCAGGCCAGATGTCTATGGCTGACATTGTGAAGATGGGTAGACCACAGAACAAGACAACGAACTCACAACAAAATGTCAATATACGTTCTGAGATAAATTTAGAGAATGAAGTTAATGCCGACCACCAGGTCCCTGTTAGAGATGAATGGCCGTCGATTGAGAAGCCAGCGGCGTCTGGCCCATCTTCTGTATCAGTAGCACCAGCAGAGTTACAGGTATGCAATGGTCCAGCTGGTTTCCAATCCGATAGAGAAGATCAACATCTGAGGGACCGGTTAGAAAATATACATTTAGCAGAAAATGCCCCTTCTGATAGTCTTGGAGTTGATCATGTGCATCCTGACTTGGTGTCTGGTAGAAATGTCCAAGAAGATACTGAGTTTGATGATAATCAATACAAGTATCAGGCACAGAGCCATCCTGAAGAGCACCTCAAAGGTAATATCTTGAATCTGTACAAATGTTTTCTATTGCTTATCTCTGATACAAAATTTGGTGTGTGTTTACCTGTTTTTGTCTATTGATGTCTACGTGAGCACTCTATGGATTTATGCTGTGAATGACAATATCTGTCTTCATCAGTTAAATCACAGTGATTGCTAGTGTGTGCCATTATGGTCAAAATCTTTATTTTTTCTGTTCAATCTTCTGTCTATTGTTCATGTGAATACAATTTTGCTTATATCTCTGCTGGGCTTTGATGAAATTTTCCTATTTGGTTTATTCTGAAACTATACTACATTGTCCGTTATGTTACTTCTCTCGGTTATCTTTTGCAAACAATTAAAAAAAAAAAAAATCAATAGCGTATGAGGATCTTTAGGTGTTCTTGAATGTAACTTATTCACTGTCTCATTATTTCTTTTCAGATGAAGATGAGGTTTCTTCTGGTTCGGCCAACCATCAACCATTAACAACAGATAGTCATGATCAAGAAGCATCGCATGAAGAGGATAGACCTGCTGTTGTTATTCCAAATCATTTGTTAGTCCATACAGAAGAATGCTCGCAATTAAGTTTTGGAAGTTTTGGAGGTTTCGGATCAAGGCCTGTGAGCAACAACGTAGAAGAGACTTCGGATGTAGCTCCACAGATTGAACATTCAGATGCTAGGTATACCCATTACTACGGATTTCTTTTTACACAATAATTAATAGGATTCATACTTACTTACCAACTGATCAATGCTTGTTTGTAGAAATACTGAGTTCTATGGAGATGAACATCTTGAAACTATGGCCAATGGAAATATGGGCCACGCACCTGCTGCTGGAAATTTTGATGATTCTTTAGATTCTAGGCGAGAGGTTTTGAAGCAAGAAGACTCGGAGACCACTCAGGAGAACCAGTACACATTTGCTCAGTCTGAGCAAGGGTATGCTTATGAAAATGCGAAACAGCAGCTGAATGCTGCATATGATGCCTCACAGGCAAATGCACAGAATCAGATGCAGAATCTTGCTTCATTATCAAATGTGATGGTAAGCTACACGTGCATTGCTTTTCATAGTTGATCTACCTCTTTTCCCCTTTGTAATAATACATTTAGGCTGTTCATAGTTCTACTGAAAAAGTAGTTTTGTGATCTCTGGAGTGATACAAGACTAGTGATACCCATGAAATTCTTGAATGTCACCAGTAATTCTTGTTTGTTTTTACCTCAGCAGGGATATACACACTCAGTTCCCAACACTTTATTGGCACAAACAGCACAACATGTTAGGGAGCTTGAGTTCCAGTATTCACCTTTTGCACAGCCTATGCAATCAAGGAACAACAACAATGCCGCCTCATCACATGGTGGCCAAAGCATTTCCTTGCCAGAGGTAAATAGTCCCTTTTCCTTTAAGAAACATGAGATGTCTATTTTTTTCTACGAACTTCTATTAGCTTTTATTTAGTAGGAACTATGTTTCGTTAATCCGCACATGCGTACTGTTATGTTTACTTGACTGAAGGCAGTAGTTTCTTTATATTTTGAAATTGATTTTCGAGATTCTGGCGATCACTTTTTTCGGAACTAATAGAGTTTTGTGCAATCCATTAATACTACAAGAGGAGTACGATTTTGATTATATTATTCTCTTGTACATTGCAGGCGCTCCGAGGCAGTGGAATCCCTAGTACGCAGCCAGCCCAGCAAACGTTACCTGGTGCTAGTATCGCTACAGGACCAGCTCTTCCTCAACAGCTTCCAATGCATGCTTACTCTCAACCAACAATGCCTCTAGCACACTTTCCAAACATGATTGGTCATCCTCTTATGCCTCAGAACTACCTGTACATGCCATCCGCTTTCCAGCAAACGTTTGCTGGTAACAGCTCATACCACCAGCAACTAGCTGCATTGCTTCCGCAGTACAAAACCAGTCTCGCTCCCAATCATTTGCCTCAGTCTGCAACAGCGCCTGCCTCCGCTTATGGATTTGGAAACTCGGCCAATGTTGGATCCGCTGGAAACTTCCCTCTTAACCAACAGTCTGCTCCTACCGGTACAACGCTTGGTTATGAGGATGTTCTTAGCTCTCAATACAAAGAGAGTCATCTGCTGGCACTTCAGCAGCAACAACAGCAGCTGCAGCAACAGCAACAGCAGGTAATTTATCTTTATGGTCACTTTTACCACTTTCTATTGGTTTCAGACATGGATCATCCGATGACATTGTCTTCTTTTTTGATTTCAGAACGAAAACTCAGCGATGTGGCATCATGGTCACGGTTCTCGAACCATGTCAGGTGTCCCGGCTAACACGTACTACAACCTTCAAGCACAACAGCAACAGCAACAAGTACAACATAATCAGCAAGCAGCAGGAGTGTATCGTCAAGCTCAGCAACATCAACAACAATATGGATCTCATGGGTACCCTAACTTCTATCAGTCCCAAACAGAAATGTCCCTCGAACGCCAGCAGCAAAACCCTAGAGACGGTGCAGGGTCTCAAGCTGGTCAGCCCTCGAATCAAACCCAGCAGCTATGGCAAAACTCTTACTAAATAAAAAGAAAGAGAGTGCGCTTTTTTTTCTCAGCTTCTTTCGGCTATAGAGGTTTGTGTGGCGAGGCTGAAGAGGAAATGGAACTGTTCTGAATGTATTTATAGACATCTTCATCTTTTTGTCTCCTACGTTAACTTAGGGAAACACACAACTCTGATTTCATCAATGCAACTTATAAAAGGAACCTTTTTTTTCCCCAGTCTGCCTCTTCTTTTCTTGTCTAAGTGTTTAAACGTTTGGCTTAGCACGATCTTTAAGCTTACCTTAACATCTTGCTGTCCACTTTTTAAGTTGTTACCATTTCCCCAAATAACTGTGGAAAGAAGAATGCAAGTTTATTTTTTCTACCAAACAACGTTAGAAAAATCTCAACAGATGCTTCAGTCAATGGGTGGATGGTGATGGTGACTGGACACAACGTCTGAATTGATCTAATAGTATTATTTTTCAGTCTTATTTTATAAGCAGCAAACATGTGACGGTGGAGTCAATATTTTGAATGTTTCTTACAGAACTATAGATCTTATCATATAATATTATACAAATTTCGTGTGCATGCCATTCTCCGCCCATCCATCATATGTCAAGCACTCTATCCTGATTTTATACATCTTTTATCGGTAAATCTGAAAGGATATTTTACGCATTTGCTAAAGATAAAAGTGTTAATACAGCAAGGAACCTTTTTTTATTTTTTTATAGAGCATTAGAATGCCAAATTCGTAAGTTTGTATGTGGAAAATGCTATTCCATGCCAAAAAAGTTTAGACCATTTAGACGGATACAAGAGAGACTACATAAAATTGAGTCCGTTGGAAAATCCTAATGCACTTCTTAACCTTTACATTTAAATAATAAAATGAACTATAACAATATTAGTATAAATTGGTTGAATGTTAATGCGCAGACGCACATGCTCTTTAGCTCCAAAAAGGCAAAAACACAATAAGATCACATCCACTTCGAAAAAGAACAAAAAATAGTGGACGACACTGTCTTATGTCAATTTGTAATCATAAAACTCCAAATTATATAACTCGTGAAATCCACTAAATAGGATTATAATTGATCATGAAAAAAAAATGCTATAATTAATTATGAGATCCACTTAGTAAGCATATTAAAAATAAAATAGAGGAAGAAACAAAAATCCTAAAAAGAAGAAGAAGAAGAAGTTGATTAGACACAACTCATCACGATAAGCTATCGATTACGAAGAGATTCTCTCTTTCTCTCTACCTTTATGCAATGAATATCTTAACTCCCTTTTTTTTTGTTTCTTATGCTTTTTTCATTTGTAATAATATCCTTCTATCAATTTCACAAGTGGAGAGACCATCCAAATCATAGTTCAACCCTCAACTTTTCTCCTCCTTTTTTTTGTTATGTAATTATTCTTTTGGTTGAACGTTTTCCTTAAAGGGTTCTCCATAAGTCAAATACTCTCAAGTCTTTGTTACTTATCTTTTTCTTATATCTTTAAGCCTAAGCGTATAACCCACCTTTATTAAAACTATAGAATCTACATAATAGATTATTACCAAATCTCCTCTCCTATTTGATTTTTATATACTTCAAATAATTAACAGCAACAAACGCAATTTCCTACCTTTAGTTACTGTGACAATGCAATAACAGGTTTCATAGCTTAACATAACAAATACAAATACACAAAGATCATACATATCTTCTCTAAATATTATGTGTATTATTATTATACCTCCCAAACCAATAAATGTATATAATATAGACAAACAATGAAACGAACACCACCAACAACAAAAAAGGTTCCCTTGTGGAGAGTTTTTTTTTTTGGTTTTGTAACTTTTAAACTAAACATAAGATCACAACACAGGTACGGAGATGGAGATTGAAATCGGAACAGAGACATCCGTCGTAAAACTGCCGCCGTCTCTATTCACGTTCGCATTCCCTACAAACCCGTAACCGCCTGACCTCATCGCCGCATTTTCCCTCCTCTGAAAAACCCGAGCAAGCGAAGCAGCTTTCCGTCTAGCCCGCTTCGTCCCGGTGAACAAAAGCGTTTGCAGCAATCCCGCAATCGCCGGCGCTCTCAACACTTTCTCCGCCACGGCGGCTCCACCGCTCTTACAGAGTTCGAGCAACGCAGCGACCGCGTTTTCTTTCCCTCTCGGTGTTCCGCATCTCATCATTCCCATGAGCCCCACCACAGCTGATTCCTCTTTCCCTATAGCCTCAGCTCCAAGAGACTGTCTTACCAACAAAGCCAATGCTCCTGCTGCTTCCTCTGCTACTCCTTCGTTCTTGAGAGCTCCAACAAGACTCGACACTCCTCCTCCTTCGATCATTCTACTGCAGTTATCAGGATGTGTCGATAAGTTATACAACGCCGTAACCGCGTCTTTCCTCCCTCTCGGCGTCCCGTCTTGAAGCAGTGACGCTAATGCCTCGACGCACTGATCGACAATCGCTATCCGTTTCTTATACTCGTGTACCGCAGAGAGACTGAACAATGTGGCTGCCGCGTTTTCTTGAGCTTCCACTGTGAGACCAGAGACGAGTACGCTTACTATTGACTCCAAACAATCGTCTTCCTCCATGATCCGACTCTTGTTCTTCTCGTATATCGACAGGTTGAGCATCGCCGTCACGGAGTTCTCTTGCGCGATAGCGTTTTCGGATTTGAGAAGGCGGCGCAAGTGCGGGATCGCGCCTGCTTCCGCGATGAACGCGCGGTTTTCTTTCCCGGTCTTGGCCAGTAGACGGATTTCACGCGCCGCCACTGTTTGAGCTGCTTCGGACCCATCTGCTAGATACTGAATCAGGATCGAGACGGTGGCTTTGTTTGCTTCAACCGCTGCTTTCGTCGGAAGAGCAGACGCGAAAGCTTCGTTCGGTGAATCTGTGAACTCTGACTCATAAGATATGCCACTCGCTGTGCACCATTGCACAATCAAGTTCTTGAGTGCTCGATTCGGAACGATGCGAGAGTCCATGAGCATTTGCCCGGTTTTGGGACAAGTGCAGTGACCTTCTTCGATCCACCTAGCGATGGAGCTCCGATCATAAGTTTGCCCTGTGGAAATAATCACAGGATCTGTCATCAAATCGAGAGAGATTGGGCAAACGAAATCCTTTGGCACTGTTATGAATGTGTCCCCAATCTCCTGCGCGACGAACCCTTTCCTGGGTTTCTTCGGATTCTCGATCCTCCACTCCAACCCTTCTTCTTCGAATCCGAACAACAAAAATCTACAGTATCGTGTGATCGCCACAAACCCGTTGATCACCGACCCCGTAGGCTCCAAATCGCCATCGTGATTCACAATCTGCTCTTCCAAAAACTCGATCTCGGTTCTGCAACTCTTCGAATCCCTAATCCCCAATTTCTCTACGAAGAACGACCTCAGAGCAACCGGATTCGGTATCTTCCCGTGCTCAAATCCGTCGAGAAACGAGTAGAACGTCTCGCGCAGCGTTTCGTCGTTTTTATCGATGTATAGCCTCGATTTTCTGGATTGTCTCTGCAGCAGCTCGATCTGCTCTCTAATGTCGTCGCTGAGACCGAGATCGTTGACCGGGAAAACATCCAAAAGAGTCGAAATCTCTTGATTCAAGTCGTGGAAATAGCCAGAAATCGACGGGTTTTGCAGCAATAGCCATAACTTACTGGATTGAGCGCAGTAATCGATGAGGATCTTAGAGCGGTAGAGGAGAAGATAAAGCTCCTTGAGACACAGCAACTCCGTCGAGGAGGAGACGGAGCTTCTTGAGCCCCAGCCTGATTCAGTGAGGAACTCGAACAATACGACGAAGATCTCAATCTTACGAAACAGCGAGCGAGCGTTCCTGCGCTGGAACGAGAACCGTATACCGCCGAAACAAGAGACGACCTCCGTAGAAATTGAAGCTAGGGTTTGAACAAGAGCGACGCCGGATAAGTCAACGGGAGCCAAAAAGGCCTCGAGTGACGGCGATCTCCTCCGCCGCAGAGATGAGAATATCGCCGCGGTAGCCATAGAATCCGGCGGGATTTATTCTCGTGGAATCTGTAAACCCAGATCGAAAAATCTACAAAGACTTATGTATAAAACGAAGACACAAAATCTAACTGAAAACTATAGATGCGAAGAAAAAACAAAGTCAGAGAAGAAAGCGAAAAGGGGATTAAAGATACTTTCTGGGAAAGAGGGGAAGGAAGAAGAAGAAGAACGCGTGAGAGAGAAAAGAAAGGCTCAGAATTTTCTCTTACTTTCTTTATTTTCTTCGCTGTCAGATTTTTTTTTTTTTCTCTATCTAAGAAAGTTTTCTCCAGCGAAAGGTTTCAGTAAAGTCAATACTGGAATGTAACGGATAGAATCCATTTTCTGTCCATTCGATTATTCTATTCCTAAAATAAAATCTAATCAAATTAAAATCCACTTTAATTACTGCCATTTTAAAAAAAAATATATACTACTACCAATCTTTTTATACTGCCAATTATTTTATTTTTTTTGAAAATATATACTACTACCAATTTGTTGCATTGGAAAAATACAAATGTTAATATAATTACTCTTAACCCATTCTGATTATAATTAATGTCTTCTGCAAAATATTTATGAGTCTCGTGAATCAACGTATTTTCTATGTATTTTTTACGTAAATATTTTTGTGTCGTGAGATTCGATGGTAGTATAAAAATATGTGTATAAATTAAAAGAGTCATTACCCCTTTCTTTAGTTTTGTTTGACCAAAGTACCAAACCGGTAAATCGTTTATTTAGGTCGGCAACGTACATTAGAACACGACATACAATAAAACAGCATTTAATTCTTGACAAAGTATTTACTCCGTATTGACAGAATCCGTTAATTGATTCGACAAAAGAAAATTCGTGTTTAATTAAAACAAAATACAGACAAGGTGTGAAAGACCTATATTAGGCATCATCTGGTTGAAATCTTAGTTATATATTCCCCCTATAGAATAAAATTAGGCTGGCCAAAAATCTAAACAAAGAAAAAAAAAAAAAAAAAAAACAAGTAACAACATCCAGATTCATAATTCTCCTACAGAAAATCACCAACTACTTACCTATTTTTTTAATTACCTATCACCCCGCTTATGAAAAATTGAGAATACATAAACAAAATATTAAAGAGTGTTTTCAGTGAAAACCATCAGTTGATTAGAAAGTTAGGTGTTGAGTATAAAAAGTTTGAAAATTAGATAGATTGAAGAGATAAATAATTTTTAAACCAAAAAACTTTTTTCCATTTGATTTAATTACAAAAGTGTTATTGATCTGATAACTACGTTGACGACATATAATTTTGACAACACTATTTACTTATTATTCTGATAACACTGTTTATAACACTTTTTACAACTCTCTGAAATATTATTATTATGCAATAACATATTAGAAAAGTTGGCATATTAGAAAGATAACATGATAAACAAATTAGCGTATCATTAAAAATATGAAATTGTTATATTAACTCAGTCATTATTTCGTAAAATTTATGATATTTATATAATTATTTATATCACCGTTATGTAAACTAGTTATCATATTAAGAAATATGTGTTATTATTTAGATAACTTTGTTAACTAAGAAAAATTATATGATGCTATACTGATAACAATTTAGGTAATTTTGTTATTGCTTAACTTTTAATGTTATCGTCATTACCATTTATATTACTGTTATCTCCGTCCCTATTACTATTATTGTCATCAACATCCACCAAGATCTTGTAAATTGAAGAATGAAAAAGATAATATTAGTAATAACGTTAGGAAATTAAGGATACATATCATTTTTAAACACTAGCAGTAGGAGAGAAAAAATGAAGGTAGATGAAATTTAATTATAATATTATCTATTCATATCTCTTATATATTAATTGAAAAATATTTTTAAAGAGTAACCTCATTTTTGTAAGTATTTACAGTGATGCCTATTAAACTGATGTGCCAATTCCATATTCATTTTTAGCTAATTATTTTAAAAAGACTTATATTAGTAGACTAATTACATGATATGTCATTATATAGTTTATGTCCATAAATATGTTATGTTTTATTTTAACATATGTCATGTTTTATTTTATAAATCAGTATTTAATTTATTAAGATATTCTCTTTCTTTTATTTCTTACCAAAAATATATCAGTTTTATGGATACAGAGAACACGTAATCTTTTAAAAGTTTTTGGAGTCAATAATTATTATTTTCTTCTACAAAGAGATAATTTATGGATATAATTATTATTTTTCAAATTAAAAATATAAAAATTGTGTCTTTGTTTAATTCATTTGATTTAGTAGATAAATAACAAACTATTTAAATAATAATAATTAATTATTATTTAAGAGTCAAAAGTAATTAAATATATACATAAATTTTATATATCCAAATCATAAATATTGGTAAAAATGCTAAATCATATTATCAATCACGGAAAATATAAAATTTATATGACGACTTCGTATTTTTATCCAGATATATCATAGTACTATTCATGATATTTAATTTATATAACAATTAAATTATTCTATAATTCATAAAAAATATATTATCTATGTTATAATATAATATTATATGAAATTCATATAAATTTAATTATATTATATTATATTATATGATTTTAAAATTATATTAAATTTAAATAAATAATTATTATTTTACCTCATATAGGGTACAGGTTATTACCTAGTTGATTAGTATTTCTCAACATTAAACTCAGTTAATTATTTCTCTCTATGTTTCTCGACTAAGAGTTTTACCTCCATGACTGGTATTGGTTGCAGCATTACTGAAAATGTGAAAATTTGATCTACTAAGTCATTTCTTTTTTATTTGTCTTTTAAATAAGTTTTTGACGTTTTTATTTTTATTTTTTTACTGCCAAATTGTAAGAAATCAATAGTATCTAACAGAGTATCTAACTATTAGAGTAATGAAAAAAACAAAAAAGAAAATTATTAATAAGACAATTGTGAGATAACTCTTTCAACCGATGGACATGCTTTAAGTGACTAAAATGTTAGAGTTTTGAACAGTTAAACTTGTTCCTAGTGAAAGAGCGTCAGATCCTTTAAATAAAGAAAATGTACTAGTGAAGCGTTGACTCTGAAAAATGCAAAGTGTAGTGTAAAATGTGAAGATGTAAATAAAGGAAATTCTGTTTTTTTTTTTAACCAAGTTGCCTTGCAGTAATTACAAATATACAACTAACGAGTTCAAACCTAAACCAAGTTTAGATCTTGATAGTTGATACTGTCAAACATATATATATATATATATATAATATTTGCATTTACATTTTTTCATTTCAATTTTGTTTCTTTTTCCGTTTACAATTTACAAAATGAATTTGTTTAAAGCACTAAAGACCTGATTTACTCAAAGCATTTTATATAAATACAGAAAAAATGCATGTATTATTGACTCTTAATAAACATTTCTTGTTATCGCCACTTAATAAACGAACTTCATTTACTTAGACAAAAAAACTGACTCCATGATGACTCTATCAAGTAGTATGAAGACTCTATTAAGACTCTACTAACCTTTAAATCCTCATGTCTGAACTGCTTTAATAATTCACAACATGAAATTACAAAACGGCGATTTTGTCGATTGTCGTAGTTGCAGTTTATACAGAATCACCTCACGTGATGTTGTCTATTTCTTAATTGCACATATTTAAATATTGGGTAATAGGGAATTTGCAATATAAAACACACACAGCACACATGTAAACGGCTACACTATAATCTTACATTTGACTCTATATACTGCTAATTAAATCAACTTAGTGGTGGTGAGTCAGCCTAATTTTGTTGTTGGTGCTATATATATTGTTAATAATTATTTTATTGATCCCTAATGTTTTAGCACACACATTAATTTTAATTTATAGTTAAGTCGTTTTTTTTTTTTTATCTATCAATCTCATCAATCGGGTAGGTCGAGCACTGAAGGCAGAAGTCGGACCGACCACGGTATCTATCGGAGGAGCACGACTAATAATGCCTTAGGCTTCTTTGACTAATGCGAATGAAAAAACAAGCATGTTTAATTTTACGTGTCCCATATTTTACGAGTCATGACGTTTAACATCATTTTCATGTTTGTCTATTTCTTGACAAGAAAAACCAAGTTTTTGAACGTTGAATCGAAGCATTGAATGTCATTTTATTATATTTGTAGTACAATAAATTAGATTTGAATCAGTGTGCACTAGCACAAAATTACAAATTCTATATTACAGTATAAAGTTTTGACCCCAAGAAACCAACCAAAATTTAGACGACATTCGTATGGACACATATGAAACCGTCTCAACTCTCAACTCTCAACTCTAATCTTAACTTTAAACCAAAAAAAAAAAAAAAAAACTCTCAACTCTACCCAAACATTTTTTAATAGGACACAAACTACAAAACTATCAGAGCACATTTATCCACGTCATTAAGATAACATACGTACTAGCAATTATATTACTTGGTAGTCTTTATAACTTAACACTACTATTTCATCCATAAAAAAAAAATACACCATACACAATGGCAAATCTAAAAACAAAAATGGGTGAACATTATAACATGTTTGAATATATATACTTCACCAACTCTAGATCGCCTTCTTCAATGAGGTTTAACCAACTGGTCCAAATTGTAACAATTGTAACAAATCGGAATCCAGAACTTGCCTCAACTATCAAGAATCGGGAGTCATTTGATACTTCACATGCTCGCCTAGCAATCTTTTATCTACTTCATTTGGAATATATTTTTGGTAAAAAACAAAAAGAATATTTTCATAAACTAAATGCCAAATTATGTATATATTAATGTAAACTATTGTTTAACCAAATGAATTTGATGACAGAACATGTAATTTATCTAGTAACAAAAGTTTATTTTTACATGTTTAGTGAAAGTAATTCTGGTGATGATATATTAGCAAAATTATATCATTATAAATAACATACAAAATTAAGATTAGGTTTTAAAATTATTTCTCAATTAATAATATATATATAGGGGATGGAAAAGACAACAAAATTCATCGTTTTTCCGAAAGGTGGATGATGATAAATTGGTTCAAAAACAAAAGATGTGAAATAAAGTGCCCTTATCAGTAAGCACCATCAGTATAAATAACAATGGGGCTTCTCACATTATGGGTGCCATCAGACCAAATAAGATTCGCAGACGAAGGCAGCTTTGGGTCGAGATTGCTGCCTGAAACAGTCACCGTGAAAGACCGCTTCTCACTCACCGTCTTAAAAGAGAGCACACTAGGCGAGACCTTGACGCTGAGCTTAGATCCGTTATTTAAGACCACATTTGAATTGTATACAGAGTTGGGCGTACCGACATTAGTGACGGTTCTTTCGAAACTCACCGTGAAGGAGCTACTAGATCCCTCCAATTTAGCCGACATGGATGGATAGTTGAGGTTTCTTGGTTCGGTTTTGCTTTCTTCAGTGCAAGAAAAGTTTCCACCGGATAGGTATTTAAGGAATTTCGCAGGGGCGCCCAAGCCGCAGAGAAAAGCGAGGTGGTCCGCTTCGTTAGATTCATAGACAAGTCCAGGATTTAAAGCGGCTATTGGGTCAATATGGCCAGCTCCATAAGCAAACTCCGTTGATGCGAAGTCAGTTCCAGGACCATTCATTGGCCAAGCTACGAAATTAGGAGATCAAAGATTTGCATAAGCCAGTCAATGGTTTCTTGCTGGAGAAGAAAGCCCCTTTTGGGTTTCTTGTTGAGCCGACAAAAAATGTACAAGTGGATTTAATTTTGCTTACCGGTCGTCATGATGGAAGATTGGATCATGGACGGAGACCATTTGGGATAAAAACTCTTAACGTACGCGGCCACGCCTGCAGCATGTGGACCAGACATCGATGTTCCAGAGAGAACAGAGTATTTCACACGTCTGATGTCACGCTTGCTTTCCGATGGTGAATCATTAAGTGTATAAGCAGCGAGGATCTCCACTCCTGGTGCTGTTATATCCGGCTACAACTCATACACCATGGTCTCAACCTCAGACCGGGAAGAAAAAGAGAACCATATATCATAACAAAATTATGTATATACCTTGAGAAGATCAAGAGCTATAATGTTTGGACCACGAGAAGAGAAGGAAACGACTTTAGGAGCTGTCTGATTAAAGACTTCTTCAGTTTTTAGAATAGTCGCTTTCGGGGACCTGAGAAAACAAACATATAGAGATAAAGAGAATCTAGAGCACATGTAAAGAGGAATTAGGAAACAGAGAGAAAGGTCGTTTCCTACTTTGTAGAGTTAATGTAAGAGACGAGAGAGTCAAAGTCATCTTGTGAGAGAACAGAGAGGGGCAAAGGGCTGACCAAGGCACAGTCATCTTTAGGGCTCATAAGAATGACTGCAACAGCTCCTTTATATTGAACTTCGTCTACATTAAAGTCTTCAGGTTGACGACACAATACGATTTTCCCCTTGACTAGGGATTGATCCAAACACCCTTTCCCACATTGCCTGAAATACAATCCCCATCACCAACTATTTCCATGTTATTCGCACCAAACAAATGGTGTTTCTTGGGAAGGAAGGAACTTACTTGGCGGATTCCTCCTCGCAAGTAGAGGAACCAGCTGATTTTCCATACACCAGCGGGTATTTCTTTCCTTTCAGATCGAAAGTGTTCACTGATTTTCCCTGTAAAGAAGTACCGTCATTGGTAACCAAAGTGACAAAGATTACTATCATCATAGGAACGTTTCTTGATACTTACGACAAGTGTCTTGCCATCTCTGAGAACAACTTTGGTGACAAACCCACGGTTTGTGGTGCTGGCTGCAACGCTTAAGATCCAAGGCGCAACGGCTTGGACCGTGCCCGCTTTTGGACCACTATTACCGGCTCCATTCACGGTGAGAATCCCCTTGGCCATAGCGTGAAAAGCTCCGATTGCGATCGGGTCGTCTCTGTACAGCCATGCGGTTTCAGACCCGATAGAGATGTTGATGATATCCACTCCATCGGCGATTGCGTCATCAAAACCAGACAATATATCTGCCGAGGTACATAAGTCGAGGCAGACATTGTAAGCGGCGATTCTAGAGGCCGGAACACCACCTCTCACCGTTCCATTGCCGAGTCCAAAGAAGCTTATGTCTTCAACTGCGTTTCCAGCCGCCGTGGACGCCGTGTGTGTACCGTGGCCACGATAACCTCTAGCACCTATTCCTGTGTAGTATCTTGCCCCAATCAACTTGCTGAAAAATAATGGAGAAAGCAATTTTTGTTAATCTAAAATAAGTTTTTTTTTAACGAGAGAAACTATGGTTTAGATTATTATAGCAAATATAAACGTATATATACGCAAACACAAACATAAAGAAACAATATAGAACGAAGAGAATTACTTGTTGCAAGTGAAGTTATTGCCACCGGAACAAACACCTTTCCATTTCTTTGGAGGAGGACCAAAGCCTTTGTCGGAGAAGCTTTCGGATTCCGGTGTGATTCCGTTGTCGATGACCCCAATAATGATATCACTCTCCACGGCCGGGTTCCTCTTCGTCCTCTTTCCTTCCTTTAGCCCCATGAAGTCCCAAGACGTCGTCGTTTGGAGTTTTAGTTTCTTGTTGGGGAACACGGACACAACTCCCTCCATTTCTAAGTATCAATGGAACCCCATGAGGATGTATATAACTCCCTAAAGTTCTAGAAAAAGAATTGGTTTATCTATAACTATATGTTCAACGGTTGATCACTAATTTTGACCCCAGCGAAATTTAGCATTATGATTTGCCTAATTATATTATTTTTCCTTTTCACTAAAATGACTACTGAACATGCATACAAGCTTCCATGATGTCACATATCACATTCCAAGCCACATACTTATAATCAAAACCATTCATTTCATTGTGTATTTGTATACAGTTATAAGATTAATCAGGTCGAAGAACACTCACTGGCTACTCTTTCTCGTTCTGATTCGGTTAGCCTGGCCACGAACCCGTTAAAACTCCTCTTATAACTTCTCACCAATCGATCCTCAATCGAACTGGAATATATAACGATCGAGCCATTATTCTAAGTGTTAGAATCTTTATAACGATTTTTTAAATTAATTGTAACTACTTGATATGGTTAGAAGATAATTAAGATTAAATCATACCTTTTTCCAGTCACCTCTTGAATAATATTCATGTGAATAGACATTGGTGAGTAGTCTTCACTAGACGGTAGTGATCCCATGTAGACGACATATGCCTTTTACAAATTATCAACATCATGAATGATGGATCAATGGCCATAGAGATATAAATAGATTCTAACTACAACAAATTACCTGTTGGTCTTGAGGATCATTTGTGACTCCTGAGACTGAATTCAAGAACAAGGCAATGAGGCAAGAGAAAACTACTCGTTTACCCATTTTTCTATATTATCTAAAGTTGATGCTCTAATTTCGATGGAGATCAATATGAAAGGTACATATATAGTAGACAGTTAGACCGTGTAGAGATTCTATTTGGTTACAAATTCTATTTCTATAGAAACAAATCTAGTATTGCAAGAATGAAGAAAATCTAAGTTGGTAATATACTTAATGATACCATTGTCTTTTATAATTTTAGGAAACATAGCAAGAGCTTTTTTGGATAATTTTTTTATTCCAAACTAATTAATGAGTCTCCTTTTATACACCATTAGCCATTAGGTGATAATCTGTGCCTTGAGCAAAATGAGAAATATATTATTTATTTAGTTTTGTATAATTTGAAAAATAAAGCATAATAATATATTTTAGTTCAACAGCCATTTTATACAGAAAGCTGTAAACAAGTAATTTTTTGAAATATTTACATAAAAAGGAAGGCGAAATTAAATAAAGTAATAGTTAAATGTGTATAATGTTAAAATAATTGGAAAGAAAAAGAAAATGTAGACATAACACAACTACATTATGAAAACGATATCATTGCGGATTTTATTTACGTAGGGTTCATTTCGGCTTCTTCTTATGGGCCGCAACGGACGGCCCAGTAGTCTAATCTTTACGTAAATTATGGATGTGTGATATTACCAAAATCAATAATGCATCACGAGATTAGGCACGATCATATGAAGGCCCATATCCATGAATTGAATAAATAGCTATTAACCGGTCCCTTGATGAAACTAACCGAATCAGTATAACTGTTTTCTGAATATTATAAAACACGTGGAGCACGAGCATTATAAAATAAAATATGTTAAACTTCACACCGCATCGCGTACCAAGCAGCCACATCACTGCTTCGATTGCCACGTGTCTTAATATGATGCAATATAGACCCACGAAAATCTGGCGCATTTTACTTTACTGAAGGGAGGGTGCGAAACACTAGATAACACCATCTCTCCACTAAAGCATCTGCTGGTAATTATTCATCTTTAATTTTAGGTGATAATCAACAATTAACTGAATAATGAAGGATTAATTTGGAGTTTTAAAGAAATAAGTGAGCACACACGTTAGAGAAGTAGGACACAGAAGACCGTTCCAGATTGCCACGTCATCGTCTCCTCTGAACGAGTTTCTGCTGTGTTCTAGGCAAAAACCTGAAACGTGCACCCTCTCTTTCTCGCTCCTCTCCCTCTCTCCTTCTCTCTCTCTCGATTTGAAGAGAGAAAATCGGTCGATTTCATTTTCCTTTTTCTGGATTCCCGGAAAATTTCGGCATCGTTCAGTCTCCCCTGTCATCTGGTCAACCATGAATATCTTCAGATTTGCTGGCGATATGACTCACTTGATCAGTATCTTAATCCTTCTTCTCAAAATTTACGCGACTAAATCCTGCGCTGGTGAGTTCTCTTCCCTGAATGTGTTGTGTATTTTTTTGAAGGCGAGCTCGCGGAAACAATTGCATTGCTTTGACCGTTTGTATTCGTTTCCATAGCTTGCAAATGCAATCATATTTGAATCCTGTTGAGCCTTTACGATCGATTTCCTTGCGAATCCGAGTTGGTAGTTTGCAATCTCAAGTCAAAATAGTGGTGAAATCTTAATCTTAGAAACTGAAATTAGAAGGGAGTTTCAAAACGACCTAAGATAGATTCGGTGTAATGGAAGAAATGCGGAGTAGAAATTACAAGGAATTGTGATTTATGGAGTGAAAATGTTTGTTGTTGCTCATGATTTTCTCACATTGAAGCTAAGACATTCACAGCTCCTAACATTCTCTCTGTTGACTTTTGCATTTGCTTGCTAGGAATCTCTCTCAAGACTCAAGAGCTGTATGCGCTTGTGTTCTTGACTCGGTACTTGGATCTGCTTACGGATTACGTATCTCTGTACAACAGCGTGATGAAGATTGTCTTCATTGCCAGCTCTTTGGCTATCGTTTGGTGTATGCGTAGGCATCCACTTGTGAGGAGGTCATACGATAAGGACCTGGACACATTTCGTCATCAGTATGTCGTGTTAGCATGTTTTGTTTTGGCACTTGTCCTGCATGAAAAGTTCACAGTTCAAGAGGTATTTTCAAATGAATTTCACATGTTTTTATATTAAGCCATAGTTCAGTTGTTAACCGGAATTAAAACGTTTTCCCTTGTGGTAGTGTAGCTTGCTCGCATATGTTGTGTAATCTTTGTTTTAGTTCATTCGTTATAGAGCACATGTGGTTATGGCTGATCTTCATATGTTCTTGGTAACCATGATGGATAATGTTAGTTATTTCATCTAACATCATTTGGATTTTGTTATTATTTTAGCTGGTGGTAGAATATATATACTGTGGTTTATTTAAATAAATTGATCATGACTCTTTCCAGAACCGATTTGGGGTCTGGGTTTAGAGAAACTTTGTTTCAGTTGGTGCTAAAGTTTGTTGAACTTTGTACTATCCGTGGGAAATGCTTTATATATATGAACGTTGCATCGTTAGAGGTCTGCTTGCTTCATTTGGCGGAATCTACTTTGTCCTCATTATCTGTGATTCATATGATGTCCATAGATTAATGTCATCATCATCTCGCTGCTACTTTTCTGGTCAAACTGTTCGTCGATCTATATTTGTCAAATGCAACTTTAGCTTCTCTTTATATGCGCTACATCATACTCTATAAGCCTTACCGTCATATGTATTTGTCTAATATTTGATCCTGGTAAAACTTTCATCTCCGCAACTGCCTTCACTCCGAGCTGTACTTAATAGTTGCTAATCAGAATTGCAATGCAATACGTTAAGTCAGTGAATTTGAAACCATTGCAGGTATTCTGGGCGTTTTCTATCTACTTGGAGGCCGTTGCTATCCTTCCCCAGTTGGTTCTGCTGCAGAGAAGTGGGAATGTGGATAATTTGACCGGGCAGTATGTTGTCTTTCTCGGGTACGTAATTATTTCCATAGATATATGTTTGCTTACTTGATCTTCTGGCTTTAACGGGTTCACCTTTTGGAACTCGATCTTGATATATCATGAGTTTCTGGGCTTATGTAATCGTAATCTCTTCATTTTCTTGGGTTTGTTTAGATTTGTTTAGCATACCTTGCCTTTCACAGTTCATGTGCTTCTTGTTAAATTGATCATTGAAAAACGCTCTCCAGAGCGATATTTAGAATCAGTATTATCTCAGAAGCCTTTGCAATCGTTTTTCCTTCTAAATTTTATCGACCTGGAGGTTGAGCTAAATTAGTTATGTAAAGGATTAGACTGGCTTATGCTTGCTGAGCATTCCTTTGGGTCCGCTACGCAAATTCTCAATGTGAAAAACTTGAGAAAGTTTTCAGTTTATACTCATATGGACAAAAAAAAATTGGCAGGGCGTATCGTGGACTCTATATCATCAACTGGATCTATCGCTATTTCACAGAAGATCATTTCACTAGATGGATCGGTAATGTTTCAACAAAGAAGCAGCACGACTTTACTTTTTAACTTCTTGTTTTTTCCTCATTGCTAATGTTATTCATATTTGCATTTTCCAGCTTGTGTCTCCGGTCTTGTTCAAACAGCTCTCTATGCGGATTTCTTCTACTACTACTACTTAAGGTAAAGAAACCTCACCAATACTGAATATTCGCTCCGCCTTTTATAGTGTACTGACTTTGGATCTCTTTCTACTTTGTTTCAGCTGGAAAACCAACACCAAACTTAAGCTCCCGGCTTGAGCAGAGCCCGTTAAATTTTGCAACGATGGCGATCACTTTAGAAAAACGAAAGACATGGTTAATATTTTGGTTCTTGAATGATGGAAGATTGTTGTTTAAAGTGTGCTCTGGTTAGGCTTTTAATGCACATTTGTAACTTTTTCCGAAAATGATTTTCACGTTGAGGTTAAAAATCAAAACTTAAAAGTCTTTCTTGGAGAATTACACACACTGAAGTGCCAATATATTGTTTACAAAACTGTAGCTCAGATTTAGAGCATATTACAATAATTTGTCTTTTCAAAAAACTTATAACTAGTCTTCGATACTCTGTTTCACTTTCTTGGTTTTCTTCTTGTGCTCTCGTGTCTTCTTTTTGCTACTTAGCTCCTCTATCTCTTCACCCTCAGAGACCTTTTCTCTACTGCGTTTCTCTTTCTTTGACTTCTTTTTCTTCACAGGAGCTTCCTCTTCCTCATCATCTTCCTGCTCCATGATCGTCATCTTCTCTTCTGTTTCGGCTTCAACCACTGTGTTTGCTACAGCTATCTCTGTTCCAACCATAAACAAATCATCTCACAAACATAGTATAACAAAGGAATACAGAAATAGATATGATTTTATCAACGGAAGAAGATAATACATACCTTCTCCACTAAAGCCCGAGTCGAATACAAAACCTGTAAGATGTTGCTTCAAGAAAACCTGCAACAAATAAAATGATGCGTGACTAAGATTTCTTCCAATAACCACCCAAAAAAACATTATTCTCCATGTCCCAGTGCGTACCGCAGAGATGAGTTGGCGTGTCTTCACGTCATAAACCCGTAAATATCGGTCTAAACCTGAACAATTCAATAAAAACAACACACACACATGAGATTGTTGAAACGCATATGGAGGCTGAAGTTGTGACAACGAATCTTACCGCAAGATGCAATCACTGGATGGTGTGGATGTCTAACCACTGATCTAATGCTTCCAGAACACTTCCCTAAAAAGTTTCCCAACAACTTTCCTGCACAACAGAGATGATTGATCACTTGTTTGACTCAGTAAAACGCACAGTTTGTGATAAAATTTGTAGAGAGAACCAACGAACCTGTTCGTATATCATACGCAGCGAGATCAGCAGAAGCATTCCCGACATAGACAGTATGACCGTCTGGGTCTTCAGAGATCGCTGTAATGGCGGTCTCATGGAAATCAAAGGACAGGACTGGTCTACGTTGAGCAGAAACATCATAAAGACGAACCTGTCTCCATTTAAAAAAAAAGAGAAAAAATGTGAGTAATCTGAACAAAGCGATTTACAATCTGGTAGCCTAAAAAGGGACAAAAGAAACTTGATGGTTTTAACCTGGTGAGACTTGGTTCCTGTGACGAATTTACGGTGATCGTCTTTGCTCAAGAATGCAGCACAAGTGAACCAGGTGGGCGTGAAGATCCCGAGATTGTCTTTAGGAGGCTGCACCAAACACAGATTGGTTATAACTTAGAAGAGACATTAAAGGCTGTTACATTCATCAAAAAAAAACTTGAGAGGCTTTGAAAAGAGAAAAAATCTCACGGATTTCGCGCTCCATATCTTAGCACATTGTTCAAGATCCCATATACTGACTTCAACACGTTTCCTGAATTAGACAATTTCATTTCAGTAAGATAATAACATATAACGAAAAATGATCCTTCGAAGTAAGCAAATCGATTCAGTTCTTAACAACTACTAACCCTCCAAACAAGCCGAAGTTTTCGCCCCCATCAACTTTACCAACCAATAGTTCACCAGAGCCACATGCTTTCCAAGTTTCGGGAGCAGCGCCATCCGTGGGATCAGCACGTGCATCGGGGAATTTAACTGTTCTGAGGCTCACATCTCCCTTCTTCGTGCATGTAAGCAACGTGCAAGATCTAGTAACACCAAGTTTTTGTTAAGAAACATCAAATGGCAACACAAACATTCCCCGGTGATTGACGAAGAAACGGTTTCAGTGTAAAGGTTATATTATACCTTTCTGCCTGATCGTCTTTTTGTTTTCTGAATAAATGCAGACCAGAGATTTCATCCTCAGGCGAACCACCGTCATCACCAAATACGGAGTACGCAAAGTGAAGGTCACCATTACAAGGATTAAGAACCTCAACCTATGGAAAAGGACAATAATCGGACAAAAGGATTGGGTAAATATTAGCTAGGCTGTGGAGAGAAGAAATAAGTTACACATAGCTTATGAGTTAAGGAAAAACATACGTTGCCATCTTTTCTTGCTACAGCCAAAAGCTGCAATTGGAAGAAGAAGAAGAAAAGTCAGCAAATCATACATATTTCTACAGAAGTAACGATGCGCTATTTTGTAGTAGCAGAGGAGTTAAGTAAGAGATTATGATGTTGTTCCGTAGTTGCAAAAGAGAAATGATAATAACATACAAAACCAATGAGTTCTTAATCTGGAAAGCTCAGATTTAGCTCAGGATTACCATAACTATCTCCAGGACCAAGAACTACAAAATTCGAATCCAATGAGCTAAAGAACATCGAGACTTGGCTAGTTTAAACAGTAGAAAATGAAGCTAAACCTGGTAACTACGCCATACTTAGCTTCAAGCATAGCTTACATAAACATAAAAGAACGAAACTATTACCGGATTTCTTTCCCGGTCATCCATGGAAGCGGCAAGAACGCTTCTGGATGCATTCATCTCGCCCCATGTGTTCACTACCGACGGAGTTCCTCTCTCTTTACCTCGAGCTTCAGTCACTGCACATATCGAATTGAGAAACAACTTCAATATAATCCCACAAAGGGCCTCAGCTTAAGAAAGAGTGAGAGAGAGAGAGAGAAAAGTGGGCACCTTTGATTAACCCGAGAGAATCAAAGGTTAGAGCACGGATCGGAGGGCAACCTACGGTCTCGTTGGCGATGATTCGAGGCATTTCTTCGCCGCCGTAATTTGCTTCAAGTTGCAGATGCACGACGACGGACAAAGAGAAAAACCCTTTCTTAAACACCAATTTCTAAACCCTTTCTATACGATTCGACCGACTCTGGACAGCACCAATTTTGAAAACCGGACACAAAATTGAAAAATAATTACCTACGATTTTCCTAAATCGGTTTAATTTTATATTTGGGATAGTTATGGAACCGGGTCTGTTTCTCTCTTTAGATACTGTTTCTTTTTTAATTATAAAAAAAGGCTTTCATATTAAATCCATAAAATAAAAATATTACAAGCTCAAAGGCATTAAACAATTATAAAGATCTTAATTTCACCAAAGTTGTGGCCCAAGCTCAATGCCAAAGAGCTTGTCGTCAGTTTTAACTCAAGATCTTAATTTGACCATAGTTAGATACTGTTAAATCCTTCCTTTACTGATTCATGATTGGTTTGAAACTGCAAGAGATTATGGTGTTTTTGGACAAGCGAGATACAAACCGTTCAGACGCTTAGGACAATGAGACATGATGGTTTCTTTGGACAAGAGGTTAAAGAAGGAAAAGAGCAAACATTTTCTATTGCGCATTCTAACTCAAGAACAACTGATGAGTAACAACTTTTGAAGAAACAAATAGTATAGCACAAATTTAACAACTAAAGGAGAAATATATCGGTTTGGTTAATACAAAAAGTGAACCAAAATGCTCTTTTTAAATCGTCTATTTTGAGAACTGGACACCGAAGAGAAAATCTATTTTGGCAAAATTTACCCTTTTTTATACTAATCTCTCAAACAAATCAAAACCCAAAGAAGCCGAGCTCGCTGGCTTTTTCCTTCTCAAAGGTTTCAAAATACTGATAAATGATTGTCACCGCCAGTAAGATTCCAGTCCCTGATCCAATGGCTCCCATGAAATCAGCCAAAACGGTGAGCGCACCGATGCACACTCCTCCGAATGCAGCCGCGGTTGGGATGTACCGGTTCAGCTCCTTCTGCAAGTTCGACTCTCTGTGTCCAGGCATCACCATTTGTTGTTCCTATCACACATTTTTCACATTTGTTTTTCAGTTAATGCTTAAATTATTTTGCAATTTGATGACAACGTTTTGAGGGATTTTACCTTGAGCTGCTTCGCTACATCTCTAGCAGAAGACCCGGAGACTTCGATCCAGGTCTTTGAGAAGAGGGCACAAGCGGTGAGCATGAAGACGATATAGAACAGAGCATGGAACGGATGAGCTGCCATTTCCGCGAAGCTGTAAACACAGAAAACAAATATTCAGAGAATTGGAAATTGTGTTATTATTGTATTGACGGGGGACACACTAATTGTGGATTTACCTTGCTGGAGCTGTGATTAAGTAAGCAAGACCACTAACTGGTATAGATTGTCCACTGTACTCTGACTCTTTCCACTGTCCTAATAGGTTTACAAAGAAATTTCCACTGAATTTCCTGTAGAGAAGCTGTTGACAAGGAGGAGGATATGCAAAATTTTGTCAACTCTTTATGTTCTTAGCTAAAGTCCTTGATGAGGAAAGAAAAGGGTATATACACAAGTAAGTAATACCTGAGAGATGAAGTAGAGGTTTGAGACGAGAGCAGACTGGAGAATGATTGGCATGTTTGAGGTGTAGAACAGCTTGATCGGGTATGAGCCCTGTTGGCCACGGGCACTCTTTGACCTCACGGGCAACACAACACGGAAGCCTTGGAAGTAGATAACGATCAGGAAGATCAACACCGTTGCAAGCAAGTTGGTAACATTCGGAAGGTTTTGCCTGTAGAAAGCTTGTCTGAGCGCAGCAACCTTATTGGATTTAGTAATCAGCATATGGAACAATGCGATCACAGCGCCTTCGAACTCAGCTCCACGACCAGTGTTGATCGTTGTGGGGCTAAATGCTTTCCAGATAATGCTTTCACTGTGTCACCCACCACAATCAACTCTAAAAGTTTAAAACTTTCGGTATCTATAAACTATGTTGCCTAAAAAGACGAAAACTTTATGCTCTAACATACCAGATATTGGTTGCTATGAAAAGGGAGATCCCGGAGCCAAGACCATATCCCTTTTGAAGAAGCTCGTCAAGGCAGATAACGATAATTCCAGCAAAGAAAAGCTGGAGGATGATCAGAATAGCGTTTCCAACACCAAGCTGTCCAACGGGACCGTACATTCCAGAGAGAACATACGCAACAGCTTCACCAATGGCAATCAGAATCCCAAGAAGCTTCTGAGCACCATTCCTACAAAATACACAACGCAAAGGAACACATAAGACAACGATATTCTGAACTAGAGCTCTTGCAATCAGGAAACAACTATGGGAAATTACTTACAAGAGAGCACGATCCTCACGGACATTGTTGTCAACCTCGATGATCTTTGACCCTGCTAAGAGCTGCATCACGAGTCCAGACGTGACGATAGGAGTAATACCGAGCTCCATCACGGTACCACGGTTTGAGGCAAGAATGACACGCATCCAATAGAACGGATCAGCACCGGTCGTAGAGTGGATCCCGTAGAGAGGAAGCTGACTGCAGACGAGAAAAATGAAGAGAGAGATCACTGTGTAGATCACTTTCTCTCTGAATGGAATCTTCCTGTCAGCACTCTGGACCTCTGGAAGAAAAGCCAAGAACGGCCTCACCAAATGCAAAACTCGGAATCCTCCTCCCATTGTAACTATCGAACAGGTAAGTTCGAGTTATCTGCTTCTGCAAAATTTAGAGAAGGAAGCAATCTTAAAACCAATTCACAACTGAGAGAGAAAGCGAGAGAACATGCAACAAAACTTCATAGAGCTAAAGCAATCTAATCTCTGCTTTCCCAAATTAATATTCTACGATTTCAATGCCCTATTGCAGCAAGTATGCATGCAAAATCAAAAATTCATCAGTACGAGCATTGGTTATTTGTATATTGTTATTCATCGAAATCTAAAATTAAGAGAGATGAAATTATCATCGATCTCACTCCAAAAGCCAGATCTACCAAGAAGTTTTCACGAAATCTCAGATCCACATTGCAAAATTTGAAAATCGGGAATGAATAGTCTACCGAATGCGAATTAGATCCGGACTAATCGAGCTAAAGTTTCCAGAAAAAAAAGGAGACAATCTGGGATTATAAGTAGTTTGAGATCGACACAAACTTTCGTCTAGAAATGAAATCACAGGAGGAATGAGAAATCAATATTAATCTAAGAGGAGAGACGAAGAAGCTTTACCTCTGCGAGTTTGAGAGAGAGCGCTGCGAAGAAGAAGAAGAAATGGGTTGAAGTTTTTTTGGTTGTTTTGGTTTTTCGCTCTTCAGCTAAATGTTGAAGCTTTTTTAAACAAGTCAATGAATTACATGTCATCAAACCAATTATGTTCAAACACGTGGCAGAGAACGTTCATTTTGATCAAGTGATGACACAATGACTCAAACTCAATTGCTACATAATAAACTCAATAATCAAATAAATAATTACATCAAAATTTTGTTCCAACTTCAATATTTTCGACTAGTCCTCGAGCGACTTATGATTTTTTTGCAAGCTTTAATATAATAAGATGTTTTTTGCAAATTTTCTTTTTAATCTGATATTTAAAATTTCTTAGGGGTTATTGAGAAAAGAATTTATGTAGATTTTAAGAATTTTGAGATTATCTTACTATAATCCATTGTTATTAGTTTAAAAAATTTTAAATTTCATCTAAAATCATTTATTATTCAAAAAATTTAACTTTTAAAGATTTTATGATTCAATTAAAATCTTGTGTTACTGAAATATAAATTTTAAACAATTTAATTCATATAACAAGATTTTTGAAGATTTTTAAAATGTTATTTATATGATTTAAATTCTCAAAGTCGTTATAATAAAATATTTTCATAGATTTTTTAAATAAATAAACTATTTCCAAATTTAACAAATCTCTTTAATAAATCTTTCAACTATTAAAATCAATCAAAATTTTAGAACTCTATGTTCCAATAACCCTTAAAAGGCTAAAATCGTTGCTTTGAAAGAAAGAAAAAACATTAATGAACCAAACTAAACCAATTGGGTTTTAACGTGAATCTATTGATTGTAATTGTTGGTTCTCTCACTCGACCGAGTCGAACTATTTACCTTAAAAAAATTCGGTGTGTGGATTTATTCTTTGGTCAATGGCCTTAATTTTTGGTACACTTGCTTAATCGACACAATGAACTCTTTGTGAATTATTCTTCCCTCTGTTTTGATTTCTATTTTGTATTCATGCTCTGTTTTCTTTACATGCAATTTTCAGCTTTCAACAACTACCACCACGAGTTGTGATTAACCATATTTTTCTATTGAATAAATTTCACATTCTAACAAAAAAAGTCACATTTTTATATAGAAAAAATATAGGAATAGCTAGTCCTTTCTTCGAGCTATATAAATAGAAGGATTCAAAACATTTTTCAGATTGACCAGCCCTGAAAGATATATGTATAATTAGATAGCAAAACAAATTTGAAATTACAATCTTTATATGTTTCGAAATGTACAATGCGAAACAGGAACTTCAAGTTATTACTGGAATCATGTAATGTGACATATTAGGAGGGGTTGAGTTCTCATACTAATTACTGAAAAATCCCCACGATGTATTTCAAGAGAAGAACTTGGCGAATAGAGAATTCAAAGAGAGATATATTGACTTTTTTTTTTTACATTAAAAATACCATTTTATTAATTATATTCAGAATCAAGCTTTCGTCAAGAGTAAGCCAAGACGGAGCTACCAAACTTACATAGGAAAAATAAAAATCTCGTGTTCTTGCACCTTTTGCAAGCTTATCAACATATATATTTTTTTTTCGAGGAATATAAAAAATATTAAAAATATTAAAGATCCTTTTAAATATCTAAATTCTTTTAGTTCGAAATAAAAAAGATGGTCATTCTTCCGGACATATTGACTAAACTCACTACGTTTGATACAAAATATGTAAGGCCCAACACTTTTTAAGTAAATGTATATGTATGGTATTATAACATACTACAGTATTAAAAAGCTTAAAATGACAACAACAACAAACAAAAAAGATAAAAATAGGACACTTTAAATCCGCAGGTGACTCAAACGACAAAGTTTTAAAAAGAAAATTAACAATGATGAGGTCTTCTCGGAGGGGCAACCTTAAACTTTTCTTGTAATGGCATTGTGAACACAATTTCAGTTTTATTAAACTTAAAAGTCAGATATCATGATGAATTTAGATTACTTGGCTTCACGAGTTTTAAACAATTATGGACCCACCCACTAATATGTCTAGCTAAACTATGATATTTAAACTAGCTTACCACTGTTTTACATTTTAGATTTTTAGATAAACACAATAGAAGCGTTTATAAACATGGCTATGCAATTTCAAACTATAATAGGGTCTTCCCTCGATTGCGGTTTACATTTACTTTTACTTAAAATATATTTATCTGAAATTATGTGAATCGTTGGAATAGAATCCAATCCACCAATATGTCTCCAAAATTTATACGCTTTAATCATTCTATTATATATAAGGATTTAGGCGACATCGATTGTTTCTTAAAGCTCAAGATGTACTAATTATCATACAGTATGATAAGGTATCATAACCCACACATCATACATGTGTGGAGTATATAGTAATACAAACACACACGTTAAAGTTTTGAAATCTGATTTTAAACATCAGTTTTTACCAGTTTTTAAATTAAAATACCATACATTTTACAGCATCTTTACTGTATACCATTAGTTTTTGACTTATTGTTCAAATTTTCGTATTTATGTATAAACCTTTTATCAAACAAAGTAATTTTCTCACATGTGTTACCTTTTTTTTATCTAACTGAAAAATATTATCGTAAGAGAATGTTCACTCACATAATTAAAGTACTCTTGTCTAAATTACACACACACACGTTAGATAGAGAATAAAAACAAATTATGATCACCACACAGTATCAAAAGTAAAACATATAAAGACATAATTACATGTGATATAAGTGCTTATAATTAAATTAACCAGTGTTATCCGACAAACTCGACCCGACCACAATTTAATATCCTTGTGAAAGAAGCTTACTCACACTGTTACACATGAAGCTTAATTATCTTTATTCAATTAAGTGACTATAAAATACACTAAATTACGAACACCAATACAAACGTATATAAAACAATATATAGTAGAAAATTATAAAATATACAAAAGAAAAAGAGAACATAATACGATCAACCTCTTTTTTTCTTCTCTCATGATCTTTCCCACGCTTTCACGCTTTGCCTCATTTAATTTATATTTGTTTCTTTTTCAAAAAACAATTTGGTCTCTCTTTCTTTCTTTTGCTGTATCGGACTCCCAATACTTCTGCTCTCATAAATCGTCAGATTTTTTTTCCTTGTCAGGAAAAAAAAATTCAAAACAAATTGAATCTCTGCTTTATCCTCTCACAACATCCAGAGAGAAACATCAATTTCAAGCTCTGTTTTAATGGAAACATTGAAGAAGAATCCGTCAATCAGAAGAAAAAGCAAGCTAGCGAGAACATTTCAGAAGGTATGCAGCCTGAGGACGACGTCGACGAAGGTGTCGTCCAACAACGGAATCGGCATCTGTATGTTGAAGTCACAGAATCCAAACTTCGTCGATGAGGATGACGATGGAGATTCCGTCTTCGATCTGAAGAGTACTTCGAGCAGCAGGAGTGGAGAGATTAAGGTGCGAGAGCGGCAGAGAGCCGTCTTAGAAGCGGTGGTTGCGAAAATCTTCGCCAGCACGACTACCATTAAAGCCGCGTACGCAGAGCTTCAGATGGCGCAGCGTCCGTACGACAACGACGCGATACAGGCGGCGGATACGGCGGTGGTCGAGGAGCTTAGGGCCTTGTCGGAGCTGAAACGGAATTTTCTGAGGAAGGAGCTGAATCTGTCTCCTCAAGTGGCGATTATGCTCGCTGAGATCCAGGAGCAGCAGAGCTTGATGAGGACGTACGAAATCACAATCAAGAAGCTCGAATCGGAAGTTACGGAGAAGGAATCGAGAATCGATTCGTTGACGACGAACCTCGAAGAAAACTCGGCGTTTAATAAATCGCTGGAGAAGAAACTCACGGCGAGTGGATCCATCTCTCTGTTCGATAGCATCCAGTTTTCGAATTTGAATTTAAGCCACTTCGTTCAGATTCTAGGTTTTACGTTGAGATCCGTACGGAGCTTCGTCAAATCGATGGTGAAGGAAATGGAATCGGCGGGCTGGGATCTCGACGCCGCCGCTTCCGCCGCCTTATCGACAACCGTCCGAAACGCCCCCACCGTCTTCGGCAGGCCGAGCCACCGTTGCTTCGCGTTCGAATCGTTCGTCTGTGGGAAAATGCTGGAGAATTTCGATTCTCCCAATTTCTCGTTACCTAACGTCGACGATAAACCGACCCGTGAGCAATTCGAAAACCTAAGATCCGCCGACCCGATCCAGTACTTGACCCGGAACCCGGGTTCCTCCTTCGCGAGGTTCACGCTCCACAAGTACTTGAGCGTGGTACACGCGAAGATGGAGTGTTCCTTCTTCGGGAACCTGAACCAGAGGAAGCTGGTTAACTCGGGCGGGTTTCCGGATTCGGGTTTCTTCGCAACGTTCTGTGAGATGTCTAAACGGATCTGGCTTCTGCACTGCTTGGCGTTTTGTCTCAGTGAAAACGTCACGGTGTTTCAGCTCAGAAGAGGTTGTAGATTCTCTCAAGTGTACATGGAGAGCGTGAAAACAGGCGACGAGTCACTCTTCTCCGGCGATAATGCAGATATCCGGGTCGGGTTCACGGTTGTCCCCGGGTTTAAAATCGGCGATATGGTGATACAGAGCCAAGTTTACTTATCTCCGGTGGCCGGTTTTCCTCCGCCGGTTACTTCATGAAGATAAACAAACCAAATCCAAATAAAACTTCACGCGGTAGTGGTGACACGCGCCGGGGAAGTAAAAGAGCGGTGGCGCGTGTAAAAGGAATGGGGGTGGGACATGGTCCCTTGGTGGCAGCAGGACTGGCATGTGGGACCTGTTTTGAAAGGGGACAGAAAATGGCGCGAGGGACAATCATCATCAAAATAGTTTAGTGAAGAAAATGATAAAAGAAAACTTTTTTTTTAGATTATAAAATACAGCAAAGTAGTAGAATGGCATGGAAGAGGAATAGTATTCTGTGTTTTTTTTTTTTTTTTAAACATTTAGTTATATAACTGATATTTTTTTTAATGTCTAGAGTTGGTCGGATTATGTCTGTATATATTTTTGTTAGCCAAAACTATAAGTCACAGTTAATTTTTATTTTTTGGCAATTATAATAGGTTATGTTACTGTAGGAAGATTAATTTTATAAGATATCTTGTAATAATAACAAAAACAAAAAATGTGGAGTGACTTGAAAAGTAAGATTAGAATCGATTTTTGCAGTCAAACATTTTGCGGTGGAGTGGCTTTATTGACCTGATTAATTTCTAATACAATCACTATCAGTTTAGCTAATGTATGTGGTGAGTTATGAGCTAAATGGCATGCGTGAGCTTCAAATTTTAGAAAACGTGTCGATAATGAATGTGTAGGAGAGAGAGTGAAAACTGCGATCGTGTTTGAGTGAGACAGTTCTGGGTGACGTAAGACAATCAATCTAGTGAGATATATTGACCAATAAGAGAGATCCACACACGACCGAATTTTGAAATCTAACTTGTTAGGCAGCAATTAAATGCCGTTGTATAATTATTTCGTTTGATTTAATATAGATGTATGCGAGTTGGTCTGGCATAAATTAAGATAAAGATAAGGAATAAATGAAGAAAACAATGACAATGAAAATTAGAAATCAGTCATTCAGTACATTTTAATGATTGTAGATTTAATTTGCACAACAAAAAGATGTAATTAGTGTTTGTATTGTCTTTTTTATGTATTTAACCATCTCTTCTTTTTTTTTTACTAGTAACCAGAACCGGTTCTTACTTGTGCTATGTGTTTGTAAAAAAAAGCAAGTAATATTACGGGCAAAGAAAGAGGCAAAGAGCTTTGAATATTACGGGCCTGACCAACTTGTTGGACTCTACGCTATGTGGAAGCCTGGTTTCTACATTGAACAATATGGTCATACAAAAAATATATCTCATGAAACTGTTTTAGGATTTTTTTGTATATCAGGATTTTTTTTTTGACAAAACATCAATTCATCTTAGGTAATCTAGTTTATATATCAGGATATTGATAATTAAATCATATAGTTTTACATGAATCAATCCTTAAAATCACATATTTTTATACTTATGAAGAATTTTATCTAAACCCCATGCCCATCAGCCCATGCATATGCTTCTCGAAGTTTTATGTCAAGATCAAGAACGTTTAAACTAGTTGAATGCCCATCAGCCCATGCATAATACACTACCAACTGAATGGGCCTTTTTAACATAATAGGCGTTTATTGTTTGGGTCTCATTATGACACCACTAATCACACATTAAATTGGCTTTCTTTCCCTTGTTAAAGAATAAAGAAAATAGTCATCAAAAAGGAAGAACAAAGTTTTAACCGGTGATCAAAGAAACCAGGAACAATAATGAATTCCTCTTGGTTTCTAAATTTTTTTACCAGTCATTAATAATATTTATTTTATATCATTTCTTCTCATTTTTTATTAGTTAAGAAATTATAAAACAAAATTATTACTTATAAAATTTGGGGAGAAACAAGAAATATTATTTATTTCATTATATATATATATTTAATTCTTTTCATTTTTTTTCATTCCTATTCTTCTTTTATTTGTCACCAATTAGAATCTAAAAAAAATATAAGAGGAGCCTTTTGTCAAAAAAGAAATATAAGAGGATTCAGTAAAAAAAAAACAACAAGCAAACGGAAGTATAACGTTATATCGATAACTTTGTCTCAAGATTTTAAAGACATATACCATAATTATTATATTAAATAATGGAACAATTTATTGATAGAATTTTATTTAACAGTAAATTATAATTCCAATAAAACTAGTTTGAAATACAACAGCATTGAAGGGCCTCTACGCTAGGATTTGGTATACATAGAGCAGTTTCAGGTTTGCCTCCACATGTCCCCAAACAATCACTTTTTGTCTGGCATGGTCCTTTAAATTCACATTCTGGAAACTTATCGTCCATTATTCCTGTTAAATCAATCATATATATCATATTATTTTTTGTTGAAGGGCATTCAATCATATATATCATTATTATCATCAGACCTTTTAGTAACTTATAATATGAATACGATAATCAGTAATCACATATATATTTACATTATGGATACAACTGCATTTTTTTTTATGTTATATAAAAAGTAAAGAGATGGAAGAGATCTTACGAGTTGATTGTCCATTGTTAGCAAGGAGTGAAACAATGAAAAGGAGAGCAACAAAGTAAAGCTTTGAGTTTGGTGACCACATCTTGCTTAAAACTTTTGTGTGTTCTATATGAGATATATTCTCCACAACTATATGACACAAAAACTGATTAAGAATTGATGGATTATTTATATATGAATATCCAAAATAACTACAAAAGAAAATCAATCTATTCATTATGAAGTGTTGATTTTGTTCTTTATGAAGTTTATTTTTTGAGAAATCAATCATAAATATACGTATCAACCACAGTTAATGTATATATATTTTGCCTCTGAGAAAATTACGTATTATATTATAAACTACTTATAAATTTATAAATGCCCATATGTAGTATACCAAACAAAACACCAAGTAATTCAGCTCTTTACTTGTTTAGGTCTAGTATATCAAATAATGGGTATTATCTATTACATAACTAGACATGTTTGGCTCGGTTGGATCATAGTTTATAATATCACATCCAGTCCAACTATAAATTATTGTTAATTTATGGTTGTCAAAAAAAAAAATCAATTTTAATTAATTACATGGAATGGAATAGATAAACCACTTTATCCCAACATAACAACATGTATACGCGTGAGTATGTCTTGGAAATGATTTTTACATTGTTTATGTTTCGGCTAAACTGAACAGGTTCTCTTTACACTTGTTTACGAATTGACGTTGGAAAAGTATGATAGTACTACATTATTAGTGAATCATTTTCAAATAATACTGCTTTACATAACAATAGTATTGATTTTAGTTTTTTAAAACGGTCATCGGTAAAATATTTCTAGCAACATGTGACCAATCTCTTAAAGTATTTCATCTACGATTGTTATTCAGAACTGTGCATTGTGTGTGTACGTACTTGTTAAAGAACAGTGTGTGTGTGTACTTGTTAAAGAACAGTTTTACATTGTTTCAGTTTTCCATATCTCTACAGTCGAAGATATTTTGGATGACATTTCTAATTGATTCAAGTTTGAATAATCCTCAAGAAAACTATATATACGAATCTATAATGAATGAGCGGTGGCCTAGGGGCAGCCAATTCAACGCTATACCTCTACAAGTAACTACAATTCAACGAATCCCCTTTTGAGTATTATTATGATTGGAAAATCTCAAAAAGAAGTTTAGAATAGTGTTTGATATTTTTTCATGCGGTTCTCAACTTATTTTTCACTATATATTCAATACCAGTCAAAATTTCGGCTTGTTAACTAAAATAAATATCAAACATAAATATTTTCGGCTTGTTAACTAAAATTCGTTAGTAGTACAATATTAAACATTATTAAGAAATAAGAACTATATACTGTTATTGTTTATATTGTACTCATTCTATGATCTCTCAATATATTATATGTAAGTTGTCACCGAATCTCCTCAACCACTGATTTGAAGACCATGGCTACATGTAAATTTTATACTATTAAGTACGTCGACAGAATAATAATCGACCGTTCACTAATCTCGGCGAATAAGAGACAACTTATAATCAAATGAAGAAAAATGTGACATTAATTAATTAATTACAAGATGGGATACTAAACCCCGTGTGATATGGACAACAATAAACTTTTGACTACTCTACATAAAGGAAAATTTTCGAGTAACCTGAAAAATGTATTTTTATATGGTAAACAAAACAATTTGTAAATTACCTAAACAAAGGTCTATACCTCGTAGGTAATTTCGTATAATATAGTTAGGAAAAGAATGTATTAAATTGTAAAAAAAAAAACTAAATACGAATCTAAGGGAGACTATCAATGGCCAACGCCGGGACTGGGGACAGACTGAAGAAACCTATCAACGGTGTAGAGATGTCGAGATCGGAGCTTCGCGGCAGAGATGGCGGCGTGACCCTTTTTGCTCGGCGTCGAGTTGGGGATTTTTCCCTTTGGCAGAGCAGTTAGCGTAGTGGTTTTGGTCACGTGAGGCATGTGACTCTTCTCTTCCTCTCTCACCGTCAAGTTCTCTTGTTTCTTCATCTCCAACAGCTTTCTTGAAGAAACCGGCGACGGCGAGGCCGAGACGATGACGGCAAAGACTATGAAAAGCCAGATGGTCACTAAACGAAGGGCCATGAAAAGCTTCGATCTTTGGGGCGAGAATAATTTATTAGATTCAGAGAAATAGAGTGAAAGAGGGATAAATTCAATAAAATGCTCAAGACTTGAGGTTGCTATGATAGCATAAAGTATTATGCATATATATAGTCAATAGCTAGAGAGAGAAAGAGAGAGTTCCTATTTTAGAATGTTGATAGAGAGTGACTAATTATTGAATTAGTGGAATCACTATTTGTCTTTTGGGCTTTTTTTCTTTCTTTTAAATAGAAGTCTTAAAGTGAGACTCTACCACATGCATGCATAGCAAATTAGTATAACTTGGTTAGAATTTTCAAACTCTTAACACATGTTTTCCATGAAATTTCATTTATAAGGTAATTTGGGGAAATACAATAAATTAAGAAATAAAAAATCAACGTTCCAAATGTTATGTACAAACTTATGAAAGAAGATTCTTGGCAGTTTCAGTTGTACAAAGGCAAAATGAATTCAGTACTCATCAAAAGTCAAAGGGGAAAATTTAGACAGCAGCCTAAAGAGAAAAAAGTGAAATGATATATAATTCACATAAAGATAAATATTACGACTTTATAAAAAAAGGATAAATATTACATGGTTATTCCAAATGTGAAATGTACTTAATTTGCAAGGAGGCCAAAGTCAAAGATCAAATAAAAACTAAAAGAAAAAGAAAGAACAGAAGAAGAGAATTTTGACTTGTAAGAAAGCAATTAGTCATCAACAAGACTACAAGAGTACAAAGATTGTTTAATCAGTATGCAATTATCCGGATAATCTCTAGTGAATCAAGTTGAGTCCTATGTACGTGGTGAATCAAGTTAATCAATTTAATACTGTTAGACTAATTTAGTTAATTAGTTAGGTAGGCTAATTAAATCTCTTGGGATACGGTATTAGATACGATGTAACACGTGGGCGGAGTTTGGTGAGTGATGAAGTTGATGTTTTCAAAAGTTCAGAAGCCGCCGGCCACCATTTTCAACGGCGGTCGTCACGACACCGCCAAATGTTAGGCTCCCAAGTTTCACACTTTCTGGTTCATGTTGTTATCCCAATTTTTTGGAGTTTTTGTTTTACTGTATTACATTATTGGATGTTAGTACATGATATAAAAAGGGCACACCCGATAAATAGTATGAAAATAACAATACATTAGGAGAATAATATACTGTATGTTTCTACACTTGACTTACAGAACTTGACTGTGTTATTAGATAATATTAGTGCACACTATTCATGGTACTGCAGCTACATAAACTTGTTAAAATTGTCAGAAAAAAGTCACAAATTCTTATATTGTTTAAATTGTTGTTTATAATATATTTTTTTATAAAGAGATACAAATCTCACACACCATTCATCACGTGTTCATGGTGAATTGGTGATGCTGCAAGATAAATTTGTTGAGATTTTCGAGTTTTAGTATTTAACATTTCTGATTTCGTCACTGTTTAAATCTGTAGAAACTATACAAAGCGTGTTCACGACATTAATGAGCTAAACATAAATTCGTGGAGGCAAAGAAAAGTCAAAAGCATGGCCGGTAGTAAGACTCCAAAATGGTCTCCACCGCTTCACGTAATCCTTATACTCCCCAATAAAATGACAATAATTTTTAACCGATCACAAGAGTATGTTTTTTTTTTTTTTTTTTTTTTCACAAGAGTAGGTTTAAAAAAATTTATGTACATTGTGCTGTTTTATTTCTATCTTTATAATTCCTCGTATAAGCTCTCCGACTAATTAATGTTTAGGTAGAGTAAGTAGACATTTTTCATAAACTCACAAACAAATAAACTTTTGCATAGAAATTTAAAGAAGAATATCCAAAATATAATTTGTCGATTCAAAAAATAAATTAAGTCGAAATTTATAAATCTTGCTATTGGTAGTATGTAAAAATGGTTAAGAATTCATTCTCACGTATAAAAACTAGATGAAATGTAAAATACTAATTGATACATATGAGTCATTCTACTCAATGCTAACTGGTTTTGACTTTTGAGTTGATGATTATGGTTCTTTACATGACGATATATGTTTAAAATGAAATATGCTTTTATGTTTTTATTGAAATTTTATACTCCATATTTTTATTGATAAAAACTGACGAAAAAAAGAAGAGGGGAAAAAGAGTGGGTGGGTCACATGGGCATGTTCTCGTGTTGCCGATAAACAGAGAAACATTGGCGCGTTCCGCGTTTTCATGAACACGTCCGGTCCCATGCATCCTCTCTACTACTACTCTCCTTACACATCTGATCTCTTTGTATGTCTATATGATGCATTCACATAATTTTTTTTTTATAAATTAGCACGTATAAGAGCTGTATGCACGACACGTATACAACGATATACACAAAACAAAAAGCAATATAAAGAAACTAAATGGTTACATGATAATCATAGAACGTTTAAAAACTAAATTAATGATATTTGAAGTAAAATCAAAAAAGAAAAGAAAACAAGCTACGTTTTTACATGATAATCATAAATCGTTCACAAATGTAGGTGAAATAAAATAATGATGTTGTTTCTCAAAATAATAATAATAATAAAAATGATGTTTTAAGTAAAAAAAGAGAGGAAGAAGATCAAAGATGTTTGTATCAATTATTGTAATTTCCAACACATGCTAGTATCTATTTCGTTTTCTCCTGCTGTCCATAATGGGGAGTATCATTTCTAAGTCATAACCCCACATTCCGAGCTTTTTTGGGGTAAAATTTGTCTTTACTAATTAGACGGAATAATATGTTTCAGGCTTTGACAAAGCAGTAAACATTGGAATTGACTTATGCGACAATTATTCTCGGTTTTATGATTTTCCTTTCGTATATTTAATTTATAAATGTTAAATCTTAGAATTGAATACAAGTCTTTTCGTAAAGTCATAACTGATATGGAAATAATTTCTCATTGTTAGGATTTATATTTTGACTTGGAATTTTACAATATATACGAGAGACGACGTGTTTGATCACGTTGTGCACAACCTACTACTATCATACTCTATTGGATGATATACTTGATTTATTTTTAGTTATCTAAAGATATACATCAACACAACAATAACACTCAAGTCTCTCTATGGCTTGACACCTCAGTTTTTTTAAGTTTTATAAACATGACACTCCAGCAAAAATAATCACTAATCAAAATATTTTATTAATACATCTCATCTATTTATTTTAATTTTTAAACTTAAACCCATTAAAAACCTAAATATTTTTTCTATTACTTTTTGTTTTATTTTTTACCAAACCCAAGCCCAAATAATTAATAACAGCAAATAAAAAATCATTATTTTATTTTTTGTCAAATTCAAACCCAAATAATAAATAAAAACAAATTAAAAAAATTAAATCATTGTTTTTTCTTTTTGCCAAAACCAAATCCAAATAATAAATAACAGCAAATAAATAATAAAACAAAATTCTAGCTATCTATTTGTTTGACATAAACATATATGATTGAAAAAGTGTAGTCTCAGCATCAACCATGCTTCCATGACAACACTGCAAAAAGCCTTATGTTATAAGAAGCTCACACATCAACAAAAATTTGAACCGATAAAAACATAACAATTTCTTAGTTTTCGCAGGAAAACATAATTTCACAGGAGATAATGCAATTTTTATTTTTTGCCGGAAATTGTAGTTAATTTGTTTTTGTAGGAAAGCGTGATTCTGGGCTTGACGAAAAAATATATTTTTTTTTTTGGCAGGAATAAACGAGTTCTCAGTTTATCGCAGGAAATTTTATTTTATTTTCGATTTTGGCGGGAAAATACAATTTTTTTTTGGTTTTTGCACGAAGATGAAATTTTTTGGTTTTTGTGAAAAACGTAATTTCTCGACTTTGGTGGAAAAACACAGGTTCTCGGGGAAAAATGAAATTTTAGATTTTAGGTTTGACGAGAAAATAAATTTTTTGGTTTTGGCAGAAATAACCGATTTCTCAGTTTAATGGGAAAATGAAGTTTTTCTGTTTTGACGGGAAATGCGATTTCTCGATTTTTGTAAGAAGATGAAATTTCTTTGTGCTAAATTTCTAAGTCAATTTATGTTTACAGTAACCAAAATTTAATTATTTAACTTTAACTAAAAACAAAATTTTAAGAATTCAAACATAATTTTCTATTTAGTTCTAAAACAATAGCAATGGTTTTGATATGAATGTTATTGATTATAGTTTGGTAGTTTTAGAAACATATGTTTATAATAAAATATTTGATAAATAAATAAATTTTATAATTCAAAATAATCATATTAATTAATAAATCTTTTTTTAAATGACATTTTGCTTTATATAATTACAAAGGAAGATCATGTGGCAATTTATTGGAGAAAATATGTTACATTTGTCACTAGCATGAAGGTACTAAAAATGTATTGCTTTATTTTTATATATTTTATTCCTATATACACATTTATAATTAGTTAGCTAACTAAATTTAATAGTAAAATATAATTTTGAAAAAAAAAAATATATATATGTAATGATTATTCAGATTTAAAACATATAAATACATAACTTAAGCTAATAAAAAAATAAATATAATACTCATTTATATTATAAAATAATTTTATTATATTAAAAATATATACAAAATTTAGAAAATATTTCGCCGCATAGCGCGAATAAATACCTAGTATTATTAACAAAGCGAATTAAGCAAACAAGTTATGGGTTGCCGACAATTGTTGCTGTGCAGATATTATAATTTTTTTTTCTAAAGAGATATTATAATTTATAAGGTCTAATATCATATTCAATATCTATAGCTCATTACACCATAGAAAATATACTGCCATATTAAAGACATATTATAAAAATAGTTATATACCGTTTTGTCTTCGAAAATGAAAACATATCGTCAAATAAAGAAAATAAGGTTGCCAAATTCGGTCGCAAGCTATATAGTATAGTATAATAAGAGTTGGTGACACAGTTTTCCTCAACTACCAAGAGTACATAAGTGTCTCTCACTG